CCCCCCCCCCCCCCCCGACGCTGAGGCCAGTGAGTCCCCACTCACTCCTCGTAGTAGCGCTTCTTCATGGCCCTGTACTTCCTCAGGTAGTAAAGCGCCTCCAGCTCCCGGGCCACGAACTGGCCCCGGGCGATCAGGGCCCGGATCTGCTCGGGCTCCTGGACCCACTTGTTCTTCGTGAACGCTGCTCTCAGACGGTCCCTGAAGTAGTCGCCGCCTTTGGGGTACTCCCTCCCGAGGTAGAGGAGCTGTGGAGGAAGAGGAGGATCACCTGCTGCCCTCTGACTGGCTGACGTGGCTCCTGCTCTGATGTTTGGACACTGAGCCGTATTTTACCTGGCGTCTCCATCAAACTTGTTTTGATTATTCAGGATGAATAAATAAATGTGTTTTAACCTCCCTGTGAGAAATAAGATGCTGTTAACATTAAAAAAACATCAGGGCTGAAAGCTTATTTCAATTTGGTTCACACCGGCTGGATTAGCTACAAATCAGTTCATGTGACACATTTGAGCTTTAAATCTAAACATCTAACAGTCAAACGAGAGTCCAGACAGTTTATTTTCATCTAATCGTTCGGTCTGTGGTGCTTTTGTGGTTCAGCACAGATTTATAAAAGTCTGAGCTGTGACAGGAGACAATAGCTGACTTTGAAGCTGTCGTTTAATCAATAAAACAGTCCACATCAAATACGGAAACAGTTACGTGGGATGAACGAAACCCCCATGGGACGGTCCAGCCTGATGATGATGATGAGGACTTTCATCAGCTAACAAAAGACTCACGTTCTTGTAGAGCCGGACCACTTCAGGCCTCAGAGGGTTGGCCATTGTCTCAGAGCGCTGAGGAGCAGAGCACAAACGCTGTTACACATTTAGGGAGCCACACTGCTCAGCTGCTGGCTGCAGAGAGAAAAAAACAGGTGAGCCGCAGCCTAAAAGGGGGTGTAAACTATTATTGTCCTCTTAGGTCTGTTTGACAACTTATAAAGCAAGAAACAAAGTGATCTGCAAATGTTTCAGTTTCTCCCTTTTAGTTGACTGGTTTCAGAACATCAGCACGAAGTTTCCTTCATTTCTGGATGCTGGAATAGAGCTCATTTCCAGGAAATGAAGCCTCATTCTGGAGGAAAACCAGCAGAACTCTGAGTTCTCTGGACTGTAGTTTGGATCAGAGGCTCAGATGTTGATATGTGATCATAGACAGGTTTATGTCAGAGTTTAAACAGCAGAGCAGGAAGCATCCAGCTGCTTTTCAGCCTCACAGAGGCAGAAAACACAGATAGGATTCAGCAGCTTTACAAACAAAGTTTTACATAGTAACAGGAAGTTAGCTCTGCTAACAGCTTCTCAGATAAACGCCAACAGCTTTGTAAAACGGCAGGCAATGGAGGACTTGGCCCTGCTTTCCTCTGTAATCTTAAAACATTTCAAAATCACAGCAGCTTCAGTCTCCTACCTGCTCAGGTGACCCGTCTTCTTCGCTGAACTTTGACCCGGGTTCGCTAAAAGTGAACTTTATCCCGGGAAAATAGCCCACAGAAGCGGTGAGCCGCCAGTACGTCTGGGAAACACTTTGTCTGCCGTGAAAACAAACTTTGGCCTTAATTTAGCTTTAAATGGAGCTGAATTTGCGGTTTCCAGAAAGTAAACAAACAAAACATGGTAAACCCCAGCTGACTCTGACGTAGTTTGGACATGCGCACAACGGAGTTTGGCTCTGAAACAAAACGTTTGAATAGTTAGACCCTTAAACGTTTAATGATGCTTCTTTGTTTCAGTGCGTCCAAAAATGTTTCCTTTCTTCTGTTTATGGCTGGAAACCCAACTCTTACTCTGCTTTGTGATTGAATTTGCTGGAAGAAATTGTTCAATGAAATGGCCCAAAGTGACCCAGAAAAATACGAAATGTGTGCAGTAGGAGGTAGAGTTGAGGCAGGTAAGGTCAGATTTTGGCATTATTCTGAATCTGGTTGGTTTTGACACTCATATTACTATTCTTACCACTTAATACATCCTCATGTATAAACTTTTTATTTTAATCGGCACTCATGTGGAAGACGATGAACAGCTGTAATTGTAGTATTGAATCTTTTTGCTCTTCTGTTGTCAAACTGAGGCTGAGGCGGTTTAGGCAGCTGTGAATCAAAGTGATACCAGAGACGGAAGTCTGAAGCTAAAAATCTGCTGCAAACAAAACAAACTCAATCAGAATAAACTTTATTTTTCCCTCACAAACTCGTTTGACAAAAACTTGATTCAGGCACATGAAACGGCCGCTCACACTTATTGGCCGTACAGCTCCACATTTTTTAAAAATTACAATTTCATGTCGTGTTTAAGGACTTGTTGGTTTCCTTCCCTAAAAGAAGCATCCTGCAGAACCCAGCAGGTCCGGCCTCCAGAGGAGTGGCTGATCCTGAACATCTGCTCAGGCCGCCACCGTCCAGCCTCAGAGGTCAGTAGTTGGCTCTCAGCCGGCGGTTCTCCTCACGCAGCTTCTCTATCTCCTCAATCAGAGACTCGTTGACTGAATGTTTCTCTACGAGTCCGTGGATCTCTTTCTGCAACACAACAACACACGTCTGAGTGGAAAGATGGCTGCCTGACTGACTGCATCCCACTTCCAAACAAAGGTTCACAAATCAGATAAAGAAGGAGGAGTCAGATACTTTTCCTCAGACTGACTCCATCAAAACAAGCTGCTGTAAACATGGTGCCACAGTAGAAACTGTCCCAGTGAAACATGAACTTGAGGCAGATGACATATAGAAACTAAATCTCTGGTGAAAGATGCAGTTCTGTTCATCGCTTATGAATATGACTAAACAAAAGCTAATCTTATCATCCCACTAATTTCCTTAAGCAGCTTTGGTTGATATGTTCGCATGAAGTTAGTCTGAATGCTTCGTACCAGCTGGATGTAAAACTGCCGGATCATCTCCATCTGCAGGTTGATTATGTCCTTGTGACAGGCGTCCCTGAAGAGAAGAAGAAAAACATGAATCTGGGAGGCCACTGTTTAGTCCTTTAAAAACATTAGAATATTTTTTCCCCTTGAAATTCTGTGTTTGACAAGATAAAATGTGTCAGAAACAGAGTTTCTGGATTGAATTTAATTTAAACCTCCATCAGACAGAGATGCTACTCTGGCCCTGATTGGTCTACATAACCCCCCCCCCCCTAGCCCCCCCCCCCCTGAGCTGGTTTATGGCTCCCGCTGGACACAAAGTTAGCACAGCCTTGTTCTGAAGCTGGTCAGAGGCCAACCTGAAATCCTCCAGAGTTTCATGGATCAGGTTCTGGATGAAGTGGACCTGCAGGGAGGTGAGGGGAGCGGCGCCGCCCTGTCCCACCACGTCTGCGATGTTCTGCGAGCAGGACGCCGCCGCCGTCACGGCCGGACCTGAAACAGCAGAACCGGCCGGGATGAGCAGATCCCACCAACTCCGCCTGCTCTCAGCCAGAAGGAGACGCCCTCCGGCTGTACCTGCTGTGGGGGGCGGAGCTCCGTGCGCAGGTGGGTCGTAGCCCGGGTGAGTCTGGACGCCGATGGCACTGCGGAGGCCGGGCTCCGGGGTGAAGAAGGGCGGGGCCGGCTGGGAGGAGGAGGGCGTGCTCTGGCCCTCCCTGTCCAGGCTGGGACTGCCGGTCTTATCGGGCTGTGAAAAAGAGCGAAAAGAGCGTAAAAAAGCAGCGCGTGCTAACATGCTAACTATCTGACCTCTGAGGTGGTCACCTTCCAGGAGAGGCCCGGCTCCGCGGCGGCGGGGGGGAGCGGCTCCTCCTCCTTGATGGGCTGCGGGGACTGGAAGGCGGACAGCGGGCTGTAGCAGTGCCCCGCCGAGGCCCCCAGCTGGGTCCAGCGCGGGGCGCTGCCCCCCGAAAGCAGCTCTGAGACAGGAGCAGAACGCTGGGCTCAGCTCAACACACAGAAAAACCAACTCATCCACAATTATTATCAACAACCCCCCCGAAAGAGCCAAAACCCCAGTATCATCATCAGTTCTGAACATCTTATCAGTTTTGTGGCTCACACTGGTTTTAATCACCTTAACCCTTTAAAGCCTGATCCAAGAATAAGACAAAACAGAAACTTACTTTTTTTTTGTTTTAAGTCTATATTTGGCCTATTAACAAAATATGTAAAAATCAAAATCAAATATACATTTTTAATATTAATAAAAATTTATAATATTAATTTATTACTATGCGATAAGTCAAGATTATTTTTTGTGCAGTCTTCTGCCCCCTGTTATCAGGTATATCTGATTGTGTACAATAGGATTTTGAGCAAAGTTTTTACCATTAAATTATACAAAAGGTGTCAGACGCAAAACATTTCAGAAACCGTGTGTATCAAATATGATACATTTGGCATTACAGGGTTAAAAGGACCATGGAATAAACCGGTTTTTCTCTCAGATCGATGCACTTTGTTACGCCCCATTTTCCGGACGCCCTAAAGTCCTAAAGCTACACCTGAACTCGGCTACAGGGGTCTGACCTTCTCGAACTGGGGAGAACATGTCCAGACTGCCCCGGCCAGTGGGCCACCTGCCCTCCCCTGCAGTGGACAGCATCTCCAAACTGGAGACTGTGGAAGCACAGAGTTGAAAGTTAGTCTGGAACAAGCTGGATTCTGTATAAACCGACAGGGGGCTTCCTGTCCCACCTTGTGTTGGTCCAATAGGAGTGTCCACGGCTGCCCTGTGCGTCCCAGAGTCTGGACCCAACAGCACTAGCACAGAAAGGTGGGGGGGTTACGAGACACAGACAGACAGAACGCACAGGTCCACACATTCAGACTGTTTCGGTGGTTTGACGCACACTAAACGGGTTCATCAGGCCAAAAAGAAGCAGCAGAGCATGCTTTACTCTGGAGCTGCCCCCTGCTGGCCATTCTATGAAGTACATTTCTAAGTTTCTTTTGCAGACTCCAAGACATCCAGCTTGTTTTGAAGAACGTGCTTTTGATTTAGTGACTCTATTTGACCTAAATACAGTTTTAAAAGAGGCAACTTTATCCTAGAGCCAATTAGGGGCCAGACCTTCCCGAACGGGAGAGAAGAGATCCAGACTGTTGCGTCCGGCGCTGATGAACTTCTCCGTTGTGTGATGCTCCGCCCCCTGCTGGCCCTCGGCCTCCCGACACATCACCTCCCCACCGGCGCCTCCTGCTGGACACAAAACTCCTCCTACTGAGTGAAAGCTCAGTGGAAACGAGCTCTCAATGCGCTCACATCAGCAGAGGGAAAGGCCCACATGACCCACCTGTGCTGGTCACCTGGCTGTGGGGGGCGGGGCCTCTGGGGGGGGGCGTCTGGCTGGCTGTTGGACAGTTTGGAGCTGGATCTTTTTGTGCTGGAAATCTTGGGGGCTCCCAGTTTGCTGGACTGAAGGGGGACAGGAAGACAAACAGGAGCTGGAGAGGCGGCATGGTTTGGTGGTTTTCTGGTGGCTGTGAATCTGTAATGTTACACATCCTGTGGTGGGAGGAGCCTGTGAGGGGTGGGAGGAGCCTGTGAAGGGTGGTTGGGGGCTTGCCTTGTGCCTGCTGCTGCTCTGGAAGCGCAGGCAGGTGACTGAGGTTTTGTGGGCCACCGTGACCCTGGTGGGGCTGCTGGAGTTTCTCAGGTCGTACTGGTAGATCTTCCCCTGAGTGGACCCCACCACCAAACCAGTACCGTCCGGCGTGAAGTCCACCGAGGTCAGAGGGCTGTCGACCCGGATGGACCGCAGGACTCTGCAGAAACATTTACACCGTTTATCCGGAGAGGTTCACAGAGGATTAATGCTTCATTTTAGGCCCATATGATGGCAAAGATTAAGGTTTTATCGGTGTTCATAAAAGCGTCACACAGCCAGTAAAGCCATGTTTTAATATGAATTGGGGAGATCAGGTTCTGAGGGACTAGAAATTATCTTTCTTTTTTAAAATTGGAAATTAATGAAACAGTGGAGGACAGATTTTTTAGAAGTAACACTAAAACTTTTTCTGACAGAAAAAAAAAAAGGTGGCATCCCTGTTATTGAGCCTATTATCTTATTTCAAAACCCACTCATTTGAATGGGGTGTGCTGGAGCTGGGAAACTCAGTGGGCCCTGAGGGGAAAATCTGGCCTGGAAAAGGAGCAGACAGGACCAGAGCTGGACAGAAACGCTCACATCTTGCTGGCCGTGTCGTAGCAGACGATCTTCTTGTCGAAGCCGACGCTGACCACCAGCAGGTCGCTGGTGGGGGAGAAGCAGATGCCGGAGCCGGGGGCCTTGTGGGCGGCGCTGAAGACGTGCAGCTCCTTCTGGGTGTTGGAGTCCCACAGCACCACGGAGCCGCTGTCGGAGACGCTGCCCATCAGCGAGCGCTTCACCATGGACAGCCGTAGGTCGTGGATGGGCTGCAGGGGTCAGAGGTCAGACAGGAGTTCTTAAGCTGGGAGTTTGGGCTCTGAAACTGGGCAGCCCATGACTGGTTTCTGCACCTCGTCGTCTTTTTTGGCCTCTTAATAAAACTTTTAACGGAAGAGAAGGAAGTTTTTCCTTGCCTGTGTCGCCTAGTGCTTGCTTTTGGTGGGAACTGTTGGGTTTCTGTAAATAACTAAGGTCTGACCTGCTCTGTTTGGAAAGCGCTGTGAGATAACTGTTGTTGTGATGTGGCGCTATATAAATAAAATTGAATTGAAGAGAGAGGCTGCTATGACCTGGTCGCTGCCGTGGCCGAAGGCTCTGCTGGACAGGTTGGTGGTCAGACTGTGGAGGACCAGGTCCCCACTGGTGGAGCCCGAGGCGATGCAGCTGTCGTTGGTGTTGAAAGACACGCAGGTCACCTCTTCTTTGTGGTCCTGGCGGATGGGACAAGCACTTTAATGGCCGGTTCGGCCTCAGACTGTGATGTCTGGACACCTGCCCGGTCCGGTGAGCGCTTACTTTGAGGGAGCGGTGCAGCCTCTTGGTCTTCAGGTCCCAGATGTGGACACAGTGGTCCAGACCCCCGCTGACCAGAAACTGGGACGAGGAACTCAAACACACTCGGGTTTGCTTTTTCTGAGGGCAAAAGAGGAGAAGAGTCTGTTTTATGTGTGTGGGCAGAAATAACCACAAAACCTCAACTGGGTTTCAATCTTTGTCTGGTGGCCCCACAAAACTGTTCTGCTCAGCCAGCGTCTGATAAACAAACACCCAGCGAACTAAACAAAAGGGGCTCCGATTTCCTGAAGGATATGAAAACAACCCGCCAAATAACTTTGAACCTCCATGCAAGCCGAACTGTTGGATATTTCTGTAGTTTTACCAGAGAAAAAATACAATTAAGCAACTTTTCCTGCTGAAAGTACAAGTGTTTGGTCTGAAATGTTCGGTCGACACATTCGGGGCGCTTCAGGGACAAAACCCACTCGCGTGAGAGGAAAACAGAGAAGAAGTTCACCCAGGACTCACCCCGTCGGCCAGCTCCACCACCGGAGCAGGAGACGCTTTCAGGCTCGAGACCACCAGTTTGTCTCCGCTGCTGCTGGCGCTCACCAGGTACTGATCTGAGACAGCTGCTCAAGGCTGGTAACGGCTCACCAAATGCAGAAAACCTGAGCCCAGCTCAAAGGAGCTCCCTGTTTTTAAGAACGAGCCTGAGACTATACTGCTTTAATTGAGACAGTGATGAGTTGATTTTACCTGCTGCTACATCTATGTTCAACGTTTTTAGAGCTCCATTCATTAAAAAAAATTACTCCAAAAGACAAAATAAACTAAATGTGTGAAGTGTCCCCTCAGATGTGCACAGCTGGACTTTCGACCAACAGAAACACTGAAAATAACACAGATCAGATCGCCCCCTAACCGATTCTAATAAAATCTACCTTTGTGGAATATTTTCCATCTTTTAAATGTAACTGACACCTCTGGGCCACCGTACATAATCCAAAGGTAGACACAGGACCACCAACACAGCTGTATGCGTCCGTCTGTGTGGATACTGTTGGAGCTCCAGCAGGCCTGAGCGACTGGGTGGCTGCTGCTGTGCGGGTTAAACTGCTCCAGCGGCGCCATGGAAGCTGCATCCCAGATCTTCACACAGTCTCCAGTCGACACCAGGCGGGTCACCTCCTCCATGGCAGAAGGTGAAGACAAACACCTCCGTGTGAATCAGCAGATGCTCCTCCTTTGTGTTTGGGATCTGAGGAAAAGACAAGACAACAAACACTCAACAGCAGTGGACAGAAAACCACAAACTATTTAAAACATTACGAGATTCAAGTTCTCTTTTGACGATGAAAATTACTTTACATTCCAACAGAAAATAGGTTGTACATCTTGATTCCACCTCAAAGGTAAGACTGAATAAATCTGACAGGAAATCAGGAGTTAAATCAGGAACCCTCCACAAATTAAGGCCTGATTCTCACATTCCTTGCCTCACTTGTTGTTTATGGAAAAATTGGTGATCATTTCTCCATTCAATTGAATTTTAATAGGCGCCAAATCACAAAAAAATCTTCAAACTTACAGTCCAACTCAAGCCAATTACAATTCAATGTGATACAATCATGATCCTATTCATTTAGGTTCAGAATTAGTTCAAGTCTTTCAGGATCAATCGATAAAGAGGTTTCCTCTTTGAGGGAAACAATTCATTAGAATTAGGAATTTTTCATGCCATCTCTCACATTTCAAGCTGTTTAAAATCAGTCCTCATCATGTCGTTGATCCAGCTTCTAAAACCAGAAACTGAACGAATTAAAGACTTGGTTAAGTTACTTTTTGTTGGAAATTCTTAATGAACTTCAGAATTTCTAAAGTTTTCAGTTAAAACAGTTTGTGAGCACTTTTAGTGCTCCGGAAATGTTAAGAATGTGTTGGTATGTCTTCTTAAGTTACATTTAATACATTTTCTACCATCAAAACACATTTTTAGTTAACTCAAATGAGTGTTTTCGGGTCTGTGAGCTGCCATTGAACAGCTGACTCAGATGTTTTTATTTACATCAAACTGGCGGCGAAACACCAACAACCTGCAGTTTTGTTCCTCCCAAAACTGGTCTGCGACCTCCCTGAACCAACATAAACTTAGTCTGTTAAACTAACCAGCAGCTAAGGTTAGTTAACGCTAACTAGCAAACAGGAGCTATAACTGACACGGCGCGAGCGCCTGAGGGTTCAAAGTTATCGGACAGCCACAAAACAGTCACAAAAGAGCTGTAAAACTACAGGAAACAAGTGAAAAGTATGCAAAAACTTTTTGAGTTTTCCGTGTAAGGTGTAAAAACCCACAGAGAGGAATAATACCTGAAAACCGATGATGATGATGATGTTTGTGATCCGCCTGCTGGTAAGAAACCGCCAAGACGGAAAACCAGAAGGGACAAACATGCAACAACGACTTTTTTGTGGTTGTTTCTAACATCAGCTGTAGGTTACTCCAGGCCTCAGGGCCAATATCCTGCAGACACACACCTCTGAAACCCGCAGGACCGCAGCCCAAAGAGGCCCAAAGAGGCCCAGTGATGCCCAGCCCCGTATTATATTGTTCATGAGTTTTAGTAAAAACGTTTATCCAGAAATGTCAATCAAAATAAGTTTGGTTTTCTTTTTAGAGCAGTGAAAGTGGATTGTTAATCTGTATTTTCATATTTTGTATGTAATTCCACTTAAGAAAGAAACATCTGGAGTCAAATTCCTTGGTTCACACATACTTGGCAAATAAAGCTGATTCTGATTCTAATTGTGAGTTATTTCCCTGGATTAACTTTTATATTCCTACTCTCCAGTTTAGTGTAAACCTATTCGGCGGCACAAGTAATATCTATATAAAAAAATCTAGAGCTTTATTACATTTTTCTCATAACTAATTAAAAACACATCTAGTGTAAAGCAAAAGTGTAAGCGCCCAACGTGGGGCTCGAACCCACGACCCTGAGATTAAGAGTCTCATGCTCTACCGACTGAGCTAGCCGGGCCACGTGGAGCGGAGACCCCGTTGAAATACAGTACCCCGTAAATCTATACGCTGTATTTCTTTTACCAAATATATATTTAGTTTGTTCAGGTCATTGTAGTAAATATGCGGAGTTGATTAATTTAACCCACTTAAACTGTTACGGCTGTAGTAACAGTGCTGGACCACATGGGGAGAGCATCACGTGATCTGGTCTCTGTGTGCCAGAGCAATACCAGAGAAGAAGAAATCTCCCGCCCCTCCGCAGTTCTTTTAAACCAAGGCGGGACAATCCGCCTCATTTGTGGTGGTGGGTGTAAGTTGTACTCCAGGGCTTGACGGTGCAGGTCGCTGCCAACATGGTGAGGACGAAAGCGGATAGTGTTCCGGGGGCGTACAGAAAAGGTAAATGTCCTGTTAATTGATCCCAAATACGATTTTCAGCTGTTAGTTTGAGTTAAAATGCTGTTGTTTTGTCACGGAGTCTGGCGCGCTGAGAACAGGCAGCTTGCAGATGCGTGTACAGACACATTACTTTTCTGTCCAACAAATCGTTTTATAAACGCTAAACGTTTTCTTAAAATGAAGTAAATGCCACGAGGTTTGACATATTTAAACTATCGATGCTGTAAATGGGTTAAATCCCCAGCTGGTCCTCCCAAAACAGCCTCCCGCCAAGACGGAGTCTGGCTCTGCTGCCTTCCTGCTTTTTCTGAACAATCGAACAACTCCTTTAAAGTTATGTTTCAGTTGAAATAACTAAAAACGTTATGCAATCCGTTCATAGACATGTTGGTTTCCACGATGTTTGTTAAGGTTTGTGTCTCGCTTTCTGTAAACTGGCGCCAGATTTTAGCTCTCTGAAATGTCGCCCACACCCCACTTGAAATCGACATGATTATAGAAGATATTGCATATATTCCAATACATGTTTACGAGGGGATAATGTACACAACATTTCTTCATCGTGCTGCATGTTTTGTTAAATTCGGCATACATTTGACCCACAAATGACCACACTGGTTTATAGTAACCCTTTAAAACTTGGTTTGAAAATGCCCTTTTTGGCAAAAATCCGGTTATGATTGAATATTGAGATGGAGTAAATGTTCTCTGCTGTTATTTTGTAGCTGTGCTCGGCTGGGTTCCCTCACAAGCTGCAGTAAAGTGTGTGTTACGGCTTTATTGCCCCATGCTGAATCCACCAGGTTTTCTTATCACCCCTCAGACTGTTTTCTCTTCTGTTGCAGCGGTGGCAGCTTCAGCTCCCCGGAAGTCTTTGGGAGCCAGTTCTTCCAACGGCGCCTGCTCCAGCAGCCAGGCCACCACCCCCGGTCAGTCCAGTCCCCGCTGACCTCTCTCATGTCCCCCCACTGAACACAGAACAGAGACTGACTGTTGTGGTTTGGGATTCGCAGCAAAGAACAAATACGGCGGGGGGAACCCGGTGTGTCCCCGGCCCACCCCCACCTGGCAGAAGGGGATCGGAGACTTCTTCGGCGGACCGCCGAGAAAACCCGAGAAGGAGAACCAGAGGCCCCAGGAGGTGGAGGATGGTGAGGAGGCTGGAGGCAGCGGGATGTCCAAGGCCAGCAGAAAGTATGTTCTCACCCACAACAGACGCTCTGCTTAACGTGCAAACTAAGAATTCTGCACGTTCTCTATCTGCCATCTCTTATTTCTTATGTTTTTGGTTGCCAATCAAAAAACGCCTGAAGCCTCTAACATGTCAACCTAACTGGAGGCTGCAGCTTCTGTCTGTAGATACTCAGTATATCTTCTTTTTTTTATATATATTTTTTAAGATGTTTCCTTTGTGGCAGAGACATATAGTTAACAGGCTGGTTATCTAACTCACTGAGAGCTCTTCAAATCCTCTGTTCCAGAAGAAAACAGAAATTGGATATTGGTGTTTTTTACTTTTAGTATATTTCTGGTAGAGAAAGTATTTCAGTTTAATAAAACGTGGGAGTTGTACTCTAACCTTCAAATGTAAAAGGAAAGGAGAAACAGATCTGGTAGAATAGTCTTTCTCTGCTTGGGGGGATTTCTGCTTCTGAAATAGTAGCCCGAGTGTCTGAGCAGCAGCTGTAACCAGATCTGTTTGACTCCTCCAAATGTTTCCTTTATGGTCCTGCAAACCGTCTGCAAAGTAACTCAGAATTCCCTTTCCTCTGCTGCAGGTCCAGACCTCTTCCTGCTGAGGATGAGGAGGATGACTGAAGGCTGGACAGATGTTTGCTGCCTCCACACCAGCGTCTAGATGTACATCTGTATATAATTTCTCATGAATTCACCGTGTATAGTTCATTAAACTTGTTTTGAGTGGTTTTTAAGCTGCTGTGTCTATGCATTTGATTTATTTTCATAACCAAAATTCTTTAGCACGAAATCAAGAATTATGAATGTTAGAAACGAGTTGTGATCAAATCAGATTTTTTTTAAGTAAAGACTGGACACGATTACAAAAAGTGCAACAGGCAAATGAACAAAGGAAATATTCGACGCAATCGATCCATTAGACGGAAGCTCATTTGTATATATCTATAACTTCCGGGATGTCCCGGAATATTAGAAAAAAAACTTACGTCCTGTTTATTTAAAGTGGCTCCAGGCTCATAAAGCCAACATATCTTATGCATTTTATATCTCACCAGAAAAACTAGTTTTCAGCCAGCTAAGACCAATAGTTCACGGATTTACGGCGCTGTTTACATGTTGACGGGATGTTCTGAGGAAGAAATCAAACGCTACGTTTTATCGTATGGAAGCCCGCGCGGTCAAACGACTTCAGATTGCGCTAGCAAACAAAAAAAGGGTCAACATCGGCTGGATGCACAACTTTTTAAGAAACACCCAACTAGTTAAGCGTCCAGTTTAAAAGGGTTTGTTTAGTTAACTTTAATCCTCCTATACGGTGTCTGACTCCGCCCACCGCCGCCGGCCGTGTGACTGATGACATTTGCTCCTGATCCGACTTAATTCAGGACGCTAGTTGTTCGGTGTCGCCTTTACAGGTTGAACGGTGTCCGCCCCCGTCTCTGAGGAATGATATGACCTTCTGGGGAAGTTAGGACGCGTTAGGACGGCCTCCACCCGACGGAAGATGTCTGCCGGCGGCGGGTTCCGGTGGACCGTGGTGGTCCTCACCTGCCAGCACAAAGACAGCGTGTACGCCTTCCAGCGAGGTGAGGATCATCTCTCCAATAGACGATCTCTGGGTCCCCCTGCAGTAATCGGGACCAGCCGCCAGAGGTCGCTGCAGAGCGGAAATGATCTGAATGAATGGTTAAAGTCACTTAAGAAAGAACTAGTCTAACTCTTCTGTTGTCTTTGGGTCTGTTGTTAAAGCTTCTGAGTCCTGTTTCTTCCTGCTTGGGGCAGAATGAGGCTTAATTTCCTGGAAATATGTGTAATATAAAGATTCAACAAAGGGGATGGGGGGGGGGGGGGTGCAGGAGATGGGTCATCAGGCCTCTGTTGTGGGTCAAATATCTGCTTTGGTTTTGTGTGTTTGTTCCTCAGAGCTGGAGCTGCGGCAGCAGCGGGGCACTCTCTCTGAGGGTGCGTTGGTTTTGACTGTGCGGGACCGCCAGGAGCCGCTGGGCAGCGGGGGCGCCACGCTGAACGCCCTGCTGGTGGCGGCCGAGCACCTGAGCAGCCGGGCCGGACACACCGTGAGCTCAACTCAACTCACACCTCTCAAAATATATGGATTCAACATAAAATGAAAAGTTGTCTTTTTTTTTCAACCAATATTTTTAGTCCTTTTTGTGCCAAAGAAGGCTCAGTGTATCCTCCCCAATAGTCGAGATGTGACCCAGAGAAGATGAAAACAGATAGAAAGAAACCAAATCAATAGACAAATAAAGAAAAAAACAGTTAGTTCTCCCCCAGAAGACAGACATTTTTACCTTTTAGAATGAAAACAAACCAGAGAGGACGTCAGGAGACTCTGAAACCAGAGCAACCATTTAAATCAGGTCCATTTGTGGACTGAATGAAGGAAAACTAAGAAAAGCAGAAAATGAGCCTGTTGGTCCCTGCAGGTGGTGACGGCCGACGTCCTGGACCAGGCCCACATCCTGATCCTCCACACGGTGAGTCCTGCTCTGAGCCCGCTCCAGAGGTTGGTTAGAGGTTTATGGTCTTTGCCCCTGACCCCCCCCCCCCTCCATCCCTCCCTCCCAGGGCAGAGACTTCCCCTGGAGCTCCTGCAGCCGGGCCTTCTGCTGGCTGCCCCGGGAGGAGCCCGGCCAGAGGGTCCAGGCCCCGCTCTGCTGCCTGGACCTGCTGCTGGACCGCCTCAGTGCTCAGGTCTGCACATCAAAGAGGGGGGGGGGCTTTTCCCTGCCTCCATCACAGGCTGGCAAAAAACATAAAAGCAGAACACACATCAAACATAATGTAATCTTTTTAAATCCTCCTCCTGTAAGATGTAGTTGGAGTAAATGGAGGAAATAGGTCATGAACCCCACAATGTTAAATACCCATCACAGCTTTCTGAGTCCATTTTAAGCAAAAAAAACACAGCGAACATTGTTCAAACAGCAGCTCCACATCTGAGAGGAAATCAGTGAGAGCACTGTTATGTCACAGACCTGAACTCATTAAGTCATTAGTTAATTAGTCGTGTAATACCACACAAAGAACATTGTTCTCTAAGCACTCGCTCACGGCTCCAGAGAAACTGGAACACTGCAGGTCTGAATAAAGAGAGCAAAAGGATAAGAAAATGAAAGAAAAATGAAAGAAATAAAAAAAAATCAAATAAATTAGATCAAGTTAAATAAAACAAAATAAAGGTATATTACTTCAAATTAAATCAAGTTTAATTAAAATAAGTTAAATCAAATTAAATTAGGCTAAATTTGATCAATTATATTGAAACACTGTAAGAGTGTGTAAAAATGGTTTAAGCATTAAGCATTAAGATAAATCATAAATAGTTAAAGAATACAACAGAGGTAAAAAAGAGTTAAATGGTGAAACCCAATAAGAAAATGATCAAAGTAGATTTAACAAAGAGACTAAAATGAAAATAAATGTCTGTAAAATATTAATCGTTTAGGTCGAAGCTTAACTGAAGACCTCTGAAGCTTAATTTTAAAAACGTCGACTCAAAAAGTGACTTTAAAAAGACCAGAAGCTTTAAGAGCCGATAAACAGACTCTAAACCAGAACCAGCTAAAGGGGCTGTTGTGGTTCTGTCTGTGGTTCTCAGATCTGCCCCGGCTCCCCTCCCGGCGTTTGGGTCTGCAGCACCGACATGGTCCTCTGCGTCCCCCCCGACTTCTGTGAGTAACCCCCCCCCCCCCCCCCAGCACACTGTGGGGGGTTCAGGAGCGTCTGTAACTCTCAGCTTCAGCAGCCTGGTTTACGGGTGAACCCCTGTGTGCAGCTTTGTCCTGGGAGGGGTTCTCTGGCGTTCGGGTCCTGGGAGTACCGGGCGAGGCCTCCTACGCCGCCGACCACGGCGTCTACCTGTCCGACGCCCAGGTGCGACCTTTGACCTCTTTGTGCCGGCGCCGGCTGGCCTGTGCGTGACCGCGTGCCTCGTCCCTCAGGGCCGGGTCCTGGACATCGTCTACCGGGGGACCCGGGAGCAGATCCAGCGAGCCGCCATGCCGGACGGGAAGGTTCCTCTGGTGCGTCCCGTATCCCCGCCGCGTCCCGTCCAGGTGCCCCCCCCGCTGACCCCCCGTCTGCCCGCAGGTGTCCGGGCCGGTGTTCTTCAGCCGCCAGGTGTCGGAGAAGCTGCTGCAGACCCACGTCAGCCCTCCCCTGGACGGCTGCACCTACCTGGGGCTGGACTCTGGAGCCCCGCCCCTCCAGGTACCACCTCAGGTCCCCCCCTCAGCCCCGTCAGCAGGGATAAACTTTCCAGACCCTAAAAACGTGCAGATATTGTGTATTAGGAAGTTGTTTTTAGGGTTGTTAACAAGAACCATCTCATTTGTGTCCAAATATTTTGTAAATTTAAGAAAATAAACTGTATTTTCTTAGAAAATTTTCCATTTAGTTCAGGTTTCCTTCTTTAAAATTCTCAGTTGTAACTGATAAATCTGAAATTGTTGGTTTTTATAATGTAAATTGTGTAATAAGTGAGGTTTTTAGAGGTGTAAAATCCTGTAATTATGTGCTGCGTTTGATTTTCTGTGATTCAGATTGGTTACAGAACAGCACAAATAAGCTAAATAGAACAGTCCAGGATGTCAGAGTGTGGAAAACCGTGTGTCTCTTCCTCAGATCTCGCTGTTCCTGGACCTGCTGAAGTGTCTCTGCTCAGATTTGACTAAGGATCAGTTTGTGGGGGAGGAGAGAGCCGGCTGCAGCTCCCCGGCCGGCCCACAGGGGGCGGCGGTGAGGAGCGGCAGGGCTGAGCTGTGGAGGATCCTGAGGGGAGCTCCACTCACTCTGGGTCAGCATGCTTTCTTCACATTTCTCTTTAAGCTTTCATCATGTGGAGAAGAAGATTTATCACATCGCAGCCGGTTCTGATGCTTTTAACCCACCCAAAGTGAGGTCAGAAAGGGAAGAAAAAACAGGACTCAGGCACCAATAAATTAATCAGAATCATCCTGAGTCGTTTTCCCAAAAGAATCAGATATGTTTTATTCAGAAAACTCGGAATCAGTCATTAGTTTGCGGATAGCGGCTCAAGTCTGCTCCTTTAGAATGGTTGTGAGGTGACGCGTCCAGCAGAGGGCGGTGCAGAGCTCAGACCGCTTTAAAACAACCTCACCGGACCAAGATAAAAACAAAAGCTGCACAATCACACAGAACAGCGCCACATAAGAGTTAGCACCGTGCAAATTAAACCAACAGAAACGACTAAAGACAACAAAAAACGGAGTTCCGACGTGGCGTTGGTAACTTTTCCTAGAGAAGATGGTGACAGTGGAGGAAACCACGCAAACAACAAGCAGAAAGAGACGCCATTTTGTTTTTTGTCTGGTTGTGTGTTGGTGCAACAGCGCCCCCTCTGACTCCCAGAGGTACTGCGGTTAGCGGCCTTTAGGTGGAGGCAGAAATCCTCTTACTGTTGTGTTGTTTCCATGGAAACTGCTTTTAATCGAGCTGCTGGCTTTGACAAAATTGAAATTCATGAAAGATTTTGTGGAAATATGTCCAGAGGCGACACTTTGAACAGGACTGCTGGAGGTTTGCGTCTCCATAATTTGGGGCTGCGTCTGACCTCTGACCTCTGACCTCTGGCTGTGAATCCATTTCTGTCCGCAGTGTATGTCCCTGGTGGTCGCTATGACTACCTGACTGCGTCTGGGAGGCAGCAGGTGGAGCGTCTGACCCGTGATTGGCCGGCCAGAGACACTCTGTCCCACATCCAGGTGATGCCCCCCCCCCCCCCCCCACCCCCCTTTAGGGTGACTTTGGCTAACGCCTCCCGCCCCTGCAGGCCCAGGACGCCGTCAGCGCAGGAAGCCGAGTGATCAACAGCGTCCTGGAGGGGCGAGTGGGCGTGGCTTCTGGAGCCGTCGTGCAGCACTGCCACCTACAGGTCAGGACAGGAACACCCCCACCTACAGGTCAGGACAGGAACACTGCCACCTACAGGTCAGGACAGGAAAGCAGAGACCAGAATTAGATCAGATCAGATCAGATTACATTAGATTAGATTAAATTAGATTAAATCATATACATTACATTAGATCAGATACATTTGATTAGATTAGATCAAATTAGATTAGAGCACTTTATTGATCTATTGATTTATTGGAAATCCACATGTTACAACCGCAGAAAGAGAAACCCAATAAACCTAGTCGAGGCATAAGTAAAGTATTTACAGTGGTTGTTATCAATTGTTTGTGACCTATAAATATTATAACAAATATTACAAAGCAAGCGTACAGGTAGAAAACAGGTAGAAAAACAGTTTTTGTCTCCTTTCTCCTGAAATGGGTCCATGGGTAGGAAAAGCCCCACCGAGCATTTTCTATCTTTCTGTTGTAGCTGTAAATCAGGAGTTTATTGTTATATTCACTCATAAAATAACAGTTTAGTTCTCCAAATTGTCAGAGGAGCTGTTGCTAAGTCTTTTCCACCGGGCCTTTCAGCCCGGTTCGGAGTTTGTTTAGCTGGCGTTTGTGGTGAAAACAGAGGCCTGAATGGACTTTCTCCCCCTGACAGGGCCCTCTGGACGTCCCGTCGGGGTGTCTGCTGTCGGGTCTGGACGCGTCGGCGTGGCCCTGCGTCAGGCGGCTGGCGCTCAGCAGTGACATCATCATCCAGGGACACCGGCTGCTGTTGGGCCAGCTGAAGCTGAACGTTTACACGGCGATGGGAGCGCACGACGACCTGCAGGTGACAAGCAGAAATCCAGATTTCTTTTCTTGGTTTTAACATCTGTTTACTGCTTATGAATCTTTACCCACGGTGGGAAATAAAGGAAATATTCAGAAAATCTGCCGGGACCGTGAAGGTTTCCCTCCTCTCACATCTGATCTGATTTCCTCCTCAGGCATCTGATGGCGGCGCCTCCTTCCTGAACCAGAACTGGAGCATCTTCCACAGCAGAACAGGAATACAGTAATACAAATACACTATTCTGTACACCTCCGTAGGGCTGAAACACAGATCAGACCAGAAGCTGCAGAAACTTTTCACAGGACTATTGTTGTTTTTTTTCATTAGACGATCTAAATAGAGAATCTCCTATTCGTTTCCGTCCTCAGACCAGAGGATTTATGGGCCAGAGGGGAGCCGCGCTCCCTCCTGGAGGCTCGGCTCTTCCCGGTCCTCCACCCCAGAGGGGGCGCTGTGGGCCTGGAGGGGGGCGTCGGCTGGCTGCTGGGGGGCGCCGGCTGCCTGCAGAGCTGGAGGGAGGCCTGGAGGCTCTCTCTCCGGGAGGTGCTGTCCCTCACTCACCAGGAGGCGGAGCTCCTGTGGAGGGAGGAGCTTCAGTTCCTGGCAGGAAGGAGGCGAGTGGCCGACGCCCTGCGGGGCCGCTCTGACGCCTGCCTGCTGCCTTGCTTCAGGGCAGTGGTGCTGGGGGGCCAGCAGGAGGCGCTGCTGGAGACTCTGGACAGCAGTGAGTCACTTTTTGAATCAAATTCTGGTTTATTTTAGTCAAAAAACATTTAAGTATCAGCCGACTAAACTTACATTATTCCTCGTGTGTCTCTTTTTCAAAGATACATGACGAAGGAAAAATGTTATAAAGGCTCAAACTCATCATCAACAATTAGATTTCTGCCTTTAGCTTTTTCAGACTTAGAAGATGAGTATAATTACTGACAGAACACAGTTGTGCCTGAACGCCCCATGCTGGGGTTCATGAGCTGTTCATGCCTCAGACTGTGGTGGATGTTTCATGAGTCTTCTCTGCAGTTGCAGCGGGAGGCGGGGAGGAGGGGGCGGAGCCAGAATCAGGGGCGGAGCCTGGGGACGAGCTGGGCGTGGCCGCTCGCTGCCTCTCCTGCATCGCAGACGTGTTGGTGATCATGGCGGCTGGGAAGGGCGGGCTGAGGAGCGGTCCGGCTGCCAACGAGGCCTGGAGCCCTGCCTACCTGCTGCTGGAGGGGGGGGACCTGGGGGCCGGGGTCCAGGCGCTGGCTGCTCAGAGGCAGCTGTGGCTCAGCAGGTGGGCGTCCCACACCGGCCACCCAGAAAGAATCCTTAAGCACGTCTTCAGGCTCCATTTTCTCAGTTTAACTGCACGCGGTGCATTCAGGGCCTGCCGTAAAGCTGGGACAGCTGTGAGGTGAAAGTCTGTGGCCGTGTTCAGGTTTGTGTCCCCACCGCTGCCCCCTGCAGGCCGGACCTGCTGGTGCGGGCGGCGCGGCACTACGAGGGCGCCGGGCAGGTGCTCCTACGGCGGGCTGTGATGTCATCGCAGAGGTTCATCTCCATTGGACCGGGAGAGGCCCCGCCCTTTGGGGAGTGGCAGGAGGTGCATTGCCCGGCCCGACTGGACCTGGCAGGTGAGAGGGCAGCCTTTAGTTTAGTTTAGTTTAGTTTATGTTAAGTTTCGATTTAGTTTAGGTTTAGTTTTTGTTAAGTTTCGATTTAGTTTAGGTTTAGTTTATGTTAAGTTTCGATTTAGTTTAGGTTTGGTTTTGGTGGTCAGTGAACCCGTCTTTATGTAAAGCGATGCGTTCAGGGGCAGTTTCAGGAAACAGTCTCCCCTGCTTCAGGTGGATGGAGCGACACCCCCCCAATCGCCTTCGAGCACGGCGGCTCTGTGACCAACATCGCCGTGAAGGTGGACGGGAGGCGTCCCATTGGTGCCCGGGCGCGGCGCATCAGGGAGCCCCGCCTCCTGCTGGTCAGCCACGCTGCCGGGCGCCACAGCGCCGCGTCCACGGAGACGGCGTGCGACAGCCTGGGAGACCTGAAGGACTGCAGCCAGCCCCACGCGCCAGGTAGAGGCTGGAGGCCATGGGGGTCGGGGTTTGGGTTCGGGGTCGGGATCGGGTTCTGGGTGGGGGTCTGGGTTGGGTTCTGGGTCGGGGTCAGGTTCAGGGTTGGGTTCGGGGTTCGGGTTTAAGTTTGGGGTCTGGGTCAGGTTCAGGGTCGGGGTTCGGGTTTGGGGTTGGGGTCTGGGTCGGGTTCGGGTCGGGGTCAGGTTCTGGATCTGGGTCCGGGGTCGGGGTTCGGTGTCAGGGTTGGGTTTGGGGTCGGGTTCTGTGTTTGGGGTCAGGTTTGGGGTTGGGGTCGGGGTTCTGGGTCTGGGTCGGATTCAGGTCCGGGTTCGGGGTCGGGGTTCGGGTCCAGGGTCTCTGAGGTGTGTGTGTGCTGCAGGGGCCCTGCTGAAGGCGGTGTGTGTGTGCAGCGGCCTGGTGTCCCTGACCTCCCAGGAGCCTCTGGGGCAGCAGCTGCTGCAGAGGTGGGGGGGGGGCTTGGAGCTGCACAGCTGGTCCGAGCTCCCCACCGGATCGGGACTGGGTGAGAAACCGATCCACAAGCAGGATCCACAAAAAAAAATCTCCAGAAAAAAATGTCAGTTCGATTTTATATATGAAACCCAACAAAGATCAATTCTGTCCCAGTTTGGTCATAAAGAGTCTAACAGGGAGCCAAAGAAAAGAGGCAAAAACTGGAGAAATGAGAAATCAAATCTGAAGGAACGTTCACCATGAAACGTTGCAGGCTGACCAGTTGGGTTAGGGTCATAGGTGTTCTGACCTCTGACCTCTGACCCCTGGAGCGTGCTGACCGCCGCTGCCCTGCAGGTACCAGCAGCATCCTGGCGGGGGCGCTGCTGGCGGCCGTGTTTCGCTGCACCGGCCGGACCTACGACACCGACTCCCTGATCCACGCCGTGCTGCACCTGGAGCAGATCCTCACCACCGGTGGGTGTCCTCCGGCTGAGCCTCCTCCTGCTCCTCTTCCCTCTGCACCTCCTCTTCCTTTTCCTGTTGTTTCTCCTCCTCCCCCTCCTCCTGTTCCACCTTCTTTCTCTCATCCTGGTTCGGCCCCTGCAGGTGGGGGCTGGCAGGACCAGGTGGGCGGCCTGGTGGGGGGGGTCAAAGTGGGCCGCTCGGCGGCCTCTCTGCCCCTGCGGGTGGAGGTGGAGCGCCTCCGCCTGCCGGAGGACTTCCAGGCGTCTTTGGAGCAGCACCTCCTGCTGGTCTACACCGGAAAGACCCGGCTGGCCCGGAACCTGCTGCAGGTGGGCGGGGGGGCCCGGGTGGGCGAGCGGGGGGGCTGCTGGCCCCTTTTAAATCCAGGTTAAAAACATTTCTCTTCTCATGTGCTTATGGCTGAGCTTTTTTAAATATTTTTTTAATATGTTCTTTTGACATTGTAATCTTGGTTTTGCAAAAGCACTGGAGCTGTAACAAACATATTGCTTTTTCCTTTGTTCCTGCTTTTAACTGTGTTTTAACCTTTTTTAAAAAATGTTTGTTTCTTTGTTTTTTTTTATGCTGTTTTATGCTGTTCTTTTTTATTTAAAATGTCTTGTCTTAATGTAAAGCACATTGAGTTGCCGCTTGGTATGAATTGCGCTATATAAATAAAAATGCCTTGCCTCTCCGTGTGGTGACCCTGTGGTGCTCGGTCTGCAGGACGTGGTCCGCAGCTGGTACAGCCGCCTGCCCTCCATGGTGCTGAACGCCCAGCAGCTGGTGTCCAACTCCGAGGAGTGCGCCAGAGCCTGTGTGGCCGGTGAGACCTGTGACCTGTGACCTTTGACCTGCAGCAGGGGGGTCAGATGGGGGTCGTCTCCACCCGCCTTCCAATGGGACACCCGGGCAAAAGAACTGCATAGATACCGGACCAGTGTAGAGAAGGCAGGAAAGCTTCTAAAGGCCTCTAAAATAACTTTTAACCTCCTCTGGAAAGGTTTTTTATTCAGGTTTGTGACGCAGATCAGAGGCAGAAACCAGTCTGGCTCTCAAATGATCAAACTTACCACCAGAAGTAGTTTTTTTTTTGTTCTTCAAATGTATTTTTAGCCTAAAAACTTTTTTAAATGTTGCAGTTAGGAGCCTGTAAATGTTGCTTTGCTGGCAGTTTGCTGTTGAATGATTCCATCTGCCGGAGCTTTTGGTCGCAGATGGCTCATTTATCCCGTCAGAGCTAATTATCGGTGCTTTAGGATAAAAATCAACCTCTCAGGGACCTTTCCTCCAGTAAAAGCCAAGCTTTGGCTCTGGTGCTCTGTCCTAACAGTGCTGTTTGTAGGTGTTTAACTCACATCTCTCTAACCATCCAGGCCGGAGGTATTTTAGCCTTTTTGTCTCACCAGGTTGTTTTTCTTCTGAATAAGGCTGAGAAATAGCCATGCTTCCTAATCTTCAGAGGCTCTGATTGGTGTTTTTTATTCCTCTGTTTACATTTTGAATCCCTATTAATTGGTTTTGGTCGAGCCATAAAAAAGTGACAGATGCTGAATGAAGAGCTAGAGCAGAGTTCTACATTTCCCAGAATGCAGCGGGCCTGCAGCTGCACTAACAGCCGTGTCGTCCGCAGGCTCTCTGAGCCGCCTGGGCGAGTGTCTGGACCGCTCCTGGCAGCAGAAGAAGCTGATGGCGCCCGGCTGTGAGCCGGCCTCGGTGCGGGCCATGATGCAGGCCCTCCGGCCTCTGGTCCTGGGCCAGAGCCTGGCCGGGGCCGGGGGGGGCGGCTTCCTCTACCTGCTGACCCGGGAGCCCCGGCAACGGGACGCGGTGCTGCAGGCCCTCAGGGGCACACCGGTAACTCCCAGAAAAGCAAAACCCACACACAGACACACGCTCCATTTTAGAGCAGCTGAACCGATTTTTATTCCGGAAAAACAAGGAAACCTTTTTCTTTTCAGAAATGCTTCAAACTTCTGTTTAAAACTTAAATGCTACAGCTAAATGTTGTTTTCCTCTCATATAACCCCTAAACATCTCACCTTTGGCCTTAAACTGCCTCCGTTCCTCCGACTGATGAGTGAAGCTCAGTTTAGTCTCAAACATTGGTTGGAAGAGGGACGAGCCCCTGACCACGTCCCATAATGCACCTGTTCGTTTCAGGGCCTGGGAGACTTCAGCGTGCACTCTGTGGAGCTGGACGTGGACGGGCTCACGGCGCTGCCCCCAGATCAGCAGGGGGGGGGCGGCAGATGAAGCCGCAGCCTCCTCTTTAATGAGAACAAATGCTGCTAATCACCGACTATTTTACAGAAACCAATGAAGACTGATCAGTTTGAGCCAAATCCCTTTTTTTATACTTTGGAACTGATTGTTGATAATTATGCTGCAGAACTTGTGATTGTTCTGATGGAATAAAGGCCCAAACCGTCCTGTTCAATCACTGCTCTCAGGCCTGAATGTGTTCAATCCCACCGGCAGCAGAGGAACAAATCAAAGTTTCCTTTAGTTTTTCTGATAAATAAAAACCCAGAAACACACAGAAAATCCTCTGAATGCCATCAATGAACTTCTTTAATCCAGAAAGTGGCTCTCAAATGAGAAATCTTCAAAAACTGGCCTAATTTAATGGCTTTGAACAGAATTGTAAGTCTATTTACATGATTTTTAGCCAGAAAACGTTTAAAAAACCTAAAAAAAAGCATGTTTATCCTGGACTTGAAGCCTCTCTCTGCTGCCGGTCAGAGCAGACCACCAGAACAAAGGTTAGATGTCAAACTTTTCCTCGCAGATACAGTGTCCGTTCTCTTCATAGTCCTCCCGGGTCACGACCATCTCGTCGTAATCAGGACTGCGAGCCAGCAGCTTCCCTCCCTCCCACGAATAGCAGACTGGGCTGCAAACAAGCCGAGAAAAAAGCACTTTTACAGCCGTCTGTGTTTGAGTATCAGCCTGAATCAGATAAACTGCTCAGTGGGAGCATCTTTATCCATCACAAAAGCGGTAAAAACTACATTTATCGGCTCTAGAAACCTGGTTCTGCTGACTGTTTCCACTCAGAACTGAGGAGTCATTTTAGGAAACTGAACTCTGGTTCTTTTTGAAGTTATACATCAGACCGTTGATCATTTTGCAGAAAGAGGTGAGAAAACGTAATATTTTTGCGTACAAAAATACATGAACATGAACCAAATACATGAACCAAAAGCAGGTGAATTTTGGGCTGTGACCTGAAAAGCCCACCGTTAAGAGCAGCGTTTCCTGGGGCTGAGGAGGATGTTTCTTACTTGGGAGGAAGAAGCACGGCCACGGGGAGGTGGGCGGGGACGAGCGAGCGCAGCTCCGCCTCCAGCCGCTCTCTGAAGCCGGGAAACAGCGTGTTGCCTCCAGTCAGGACGATGTTCTGGTAGAAGTGCGGCTGCATCTCTGGTGGTTTAGGACACTAGATCAGCATCTCATGGGCTATTTTACCTTTTTCCTATCAGAGCTGCATCAGCAACAGGTGATGTCACAGAGTCCGACCAATCGGGAATGAGCATTAAAGGTCCCGGTTTCTCTGTTGTGCCCATTTTTAAAATATGTGGCAGAAACTGGGCGCCATGGCCTCTCTGAGCTGAACTCAGAACCTGAGACCCGGCTGTGGGTTCTGAACCGTTTCCTGCCTGTGTGGGTGAGGCCGCTCCCCTCGGCTCTGACCCTTAACCCCCCCTGCCCCCGGTAACGGTGAACCCACCGTCCGGCAGGGACTGCACCGAGTGCACGATGGCCTCGGGGATGCCCATCTCCTGGATGCCGATGTCCGACGGGTGGAAGAGCATCTCGGGCACGGCGAAGCGCTCGTTGGCCAGCCGGAGGATCTGCTCGCCCGTCTTGTACTTCCCGCTGAACACCATCTCCTCTCGCGGCTGATGAACAGAGACAGCAGTGGGACACATCAGCCATCAGGGAGGTCCAGCATTTATCCGAGCCGTCAGTCAGAACCACAAAAAGAACAGATGGAACAAAACCTTTAGACAAAGACAATAATCCTCCTCTTTAAATACAAAATGTGTTGGTTTTTGTTTGAATTTGTTTGAATAATTTCACTGATCGCCTTTTTAATGCTTAGAAAGCATTAAAGTTGCATGTTTCGAAAAAGAAAATCATATAATTACACATGAATAGAGTCTTTATAACAAATTCTATCATTTTGTTTCAATAAATTCTTTAAGATATTTCCGATGTTCCCAAAAATTTCTACTGATGATTAAAAAATATCCCGAGTAAATAAAAAAACAATTAAACTAAAGCCTTGTTGGAAACTCTGGACTTCAGAAACTGTTTAAGGACAGTTGGACAGTAGACAGTGAGCAGCTTTGTGGCTGTTAAAGGAGCAGAAATACCAGCAGCCTGAGGACTCTCACCTTGCAGAAGCCTTTTTTGATGGAGCTGAAATCTGGAAGAACGTAATCCCTCATCAGAGAGTTCTCCTCCCCCTTCATCCTGAGGACAGAAGAGCCGGCGTCAAACAGCTGCCACCAGCTGAGAGTCCAGAGCTGGACCAGCTGCCCCCCCCCCCCCCCCCCCCCGGCCTCCCTTACTGAGCCATCTCCATGTCCTTGTAGAAGTGCTGCGACACGTAGCAGACGTCCTCCTTCACCTGGTTGATCACATGAGTCTCATCCATTACATGCAGCTGGCTGCAGAACCGGAGCGAAAAAACAACAATAAACCAAAGCGGGTTATTTAGTTTGACTAAAAAGGGCCTGAAGGCGGACTCACCGGTATGAGATGATCTCCTTCAGGTGATTGGTCAGCAGCTTCCCTCCAACATTGATCCTGAAAGACCGAAAGACGCAGCAGGCTGTTAGCGTTAGCTTTAGCGTTAGTGGCGGGCGCTGCTGCGGCCGGCGACCTCTGACCTGCGGATGCCCTCCTTCAGCTTCTTGCTGCGGCAGTAGGGGACGATGTGGGTGAAGGAGAAGCCCGAGTCCACCACCAGGCAGCAGAGCTCCGACGGCTTGGAGTGGAAGTAGTGATGGGCGGCGAGGGCGCCGGCTGGAGGGGAGAGAGCAGAGAGGACGTCTGACCCCCACAGCAGCTCCAGACCCCACAGGAAGCCCCACAGGAGCCCCCAAACCCACCGTTGATCCTCAGAGCCGACTGGAACTGGTACTCCTCGAACAGGATCTCGTTCATGGACTCCTGGATGGAGGTGAAGTTAAAGTAGGGCTCTGTGATGACGATGCTGGTGTCCGCAAACTCCACCTGAGCAGAGAAGACAGTCAGCCGCTGGCGGGCGGAGCAGCAAAGAGCGCGCACGGCATTGAAAAGCTCCAGCACCTTAAACATCTCTTTTCCAAACAGGTGGTCCCACACTTTCCTCTGGACGTCCCAGTTCACCAGGTAGCCCTGCGCAGAGAGAGGAGCTGAGCCCGGGCTCCACACCGGGCCTGGAGCCTGAGGCCTGGGACCTGGAGCCACTGGCACCCACCTTCTGGAATGGGAGGATGTAGAAGAGCCCTGAGGGGTCTTTGATCTCATCCAGCTGGTTTGCAGTGAAGGTTTTCAGTCTGGAAGTCTTGGAGCGGAACTGACAGTTTGGGATGACGCTGACAGAAGAAGAAGCAAAACATCTGACTTTGAGTGGATCAAATGTGTCGACTGAAGACTTTTAGCTGGGATTGGTTCAGTAAAACCAGAGAACACAGAGGTCCTATGGAGGAAAAGCTCGCCTGCTTTTAAACCCTGAGCTCTGATGAGGATGATGAGGATGCTTTTTATGAGCGTTCCTGCTCAGGGGAGCAGACTGATGGTGGCACACACAAACATCCCAATGTGTCCAAATTAAAGAGGAAAAACTACCAGCGGAGCGGCTTTAGGAGCGGAGCATCTTAGTGCGATACTAAAAGGTCAGCACTAAAATTAACTGTTTCAGGTGACTTGTCTGACCGTAACGAAGCTGGTTTCCCTCTAATGGCTTTGAAAGGTGAAAAAAATCGCCTGAAACGGACAAAAACATTGATAGCTGTGTTTTTTCACGCTCCCATCTCACCTGACTTTGTCCTGACAGTAGCCGATCTTTGCCGTGTAGGCTCCGTTATCCAGAACTAACGTCGCCATTTTTTCAGCCCGTACGACGGAAATTAAACGCTTATTTCACATTTAATGTAAAGAAACACCTCTTTGGCTCTTGAAGCAACATAAAGATCCGCCATTTAGAACGTTTTCGTTTGGCCAGCGAATCAGTTTACACTTCATTTTCTTTCCGAACCAATCAGACCGCCTCGTTGTGTGACGTTGATCACATGGTGATCTTTAGAGCCAATCCGGTTCGAGGACTTGGACCTTCCACAAAAGGGTTCGAGCGAAAAAAAGGCACATCGTTTTATTTGTTCCGCTTCTTCGAAAACACAGAGGACGTTTAAAAAATAGGTTAAAAAAATCAAATGAGAAAAATAAATATCTCCTCAATATGTTCTAAATATTATGGAAGCTAAATTGAATAAAAACTTGAGCATCGATTGCAGAATTTTAAGGATAATTTAATGTAAATGTAACATTGGACACATCATTAAAAAATAAGATAAAGTAATTTTTTGCTCAGCATGTCCACCTTCTCGGAGCATTTCATTTTTCCCACAGCTCACCTTAATGTTGAATAGAATGTCTCCCTGAGACAGTTTAACGCAAACATATTTGGCTTTTTTTTCTGATGGCAGTATTAATTTAAAAAATAACACCACTTCTTATTCATTTTGGCCTGAAATACAAAAATGGATGTAAATTCACAAAAGACGTGGAATGTATTTGACAAAAATGGAAACAAAAAGTGGTTTGTGTTGAGTAATAAGTGTAAAAAAATGCTGGAATCATTGTTTCAATTCTAATTATCAGCATGTTACACATTTTGTCAACTTTGACTGATTTAAGGATGTAAAATGAATCGTTACCATTTCAACCTGCCACATTAGGTTTATTTGCTTTGGAATAAAGACAAAAATAAAAATGAACAGGAACATTGAGGAATTGAAATTAAAATTCCCAGGTAGCTAAGTGTTAATGTGACAAAAACATTGCCATAAAAAACAAAAAAGAGCATTTTCTCAGAGCCCATTTCTTAAAGATTAAAAACCCACCCTTCAGTTAAGTTTGTAAAAAGCATTTTTTCTGTCTAAATCACAGAAAAAGTTCTGAACAACAAGTTGACTTTCTGCAGCTTCATGCTCCTGCAGCTAGAGCTTGAAGGTTTGAAGAAGAATCTGCAGATTTCTCCAGCTGTTTGGGGATGCATCCCTTCAACTCAATCAACTCAGGCCAGCCTCCGTATTTATTTTTCGATTGGTCGTTCTTTATATACTGAAAAAGACAAACAGACAGATTTGGTCTGAAATGGGAAAACTGAATGTGCTGTAAATAAGAAGCTTTTTCAGAAAAAAAAACACGCCAGGAAGTGCTTTAAATGTTAAAAACAAAATCCAGCTCAGATCTTTAGTTTGGAGTCAGAAAAACAATGTATAAAACATAAGAATAAGAGCAGTAGCAAAGTTAAATCCGCTGCAGTTGGACCCTAAAGAGTCACTCCCATCATCACCTCCTCAAAAGGGTGCTGTGTTGTAATTCCTTTGGCTCCAACAAACCCCCAGCTGTCTCTGAATCCCACCGTCTTGATTGAGGAGCTTCCCAGTTCAGCAATCAGTGCTCTTGCTTCATCATTTAACCTGTGGAACAATGAAATATTCACAGAGTTCAGTGCTGTTTCAGATCAGATCAGCCGGCTCAAACTGTCCAAACAGGAAGATTCTGAGCAGCTGGATTGATATTGGTTTGTGTTTCCTCACAAACTGTCCATGTTGAAACTCTGTTGTCCCATCAGTGACCAAACCAAAGAGTTTTTTAGCAGCTCTGTCTGTTTTCTGAATAAGAATTCATTTTAAATCTATTTCCAAACAAAAATTATTCTAATAAATGCAGCTTGTTTCTGGGATCATTTGTCTGACTGTTTGTAACGAACTGCCTGACATTCAATTCAAATCAATTCAAACATCCTTCATTTCTCTCAGAGGGACATTAAATGTGTATGGATTTACCAGATGCTTTGCGAGTTATTATAGATTGTGATGGCTGTGGGCAGCAAAGATATTCTGTCTGTTTTACAACCATTCTAAAGAAGCCTCTGACTGAAGGGGCCGTGATGTCTCATGAAGAGGATGCTCAGGATTGTCCATCATGTTCCTGATTTTATGCAGAATCCTTCTTTGCATCACCCCCTCCAGATGTTACACAGTCAGAGCCAGAACAGAACCACCTTCTGGATCAGCTTCTTGAGCCTTTTTAGGTCTGTGGCTCAGATACTGCTGCAGAGGAGACGCCAATCTAGCATCAGATTTAGAGAAGATCTGCAGCATCTGGATGAAAACACTGAAGGATCTCAGCTTCCCTAGGTAGTAAAATCTACTCTGTCCCTTCTTTTGACGGCTTTACTGCTGAGTCTCCAGTCCGGTCTGGTATCTAGATGAACACAGAGGTCTTTATATTGTTCTGCTCCCATGATGGAAACCAGGTTTGATCCAACTCCTGGAATCTACAATCACCTCCTTGGTTTGGTTCACATTCAACATTCTGTGAGGCAGAATCAAACTGAGGGAAAACATCAGATATGACTTCTGCAGACAGTCGATATGAGAAGCATTTCAGAGGGGAGGTTTACTTCGTGCCTGGCTCGTCAAAGGACACCATCAGGACCACGGAACCGGACTCAATGTCCTTCAGGAACTTGATGAGATCTTCCACATCTGTAAACAAACCAGCCTCTCAGCCCTCTGCTCAAGCCGCCCACACAGAGCTGCTGCTGTTACTTACTTCCATCGTACGTGTTAAAGTTACCAGACTTCTGGACCTCTCCTGTGTGTCCTGCCAAACAACACAAACAGAAGAGCTAACTCTGGTTCACACAGAAACATAAGAAGGTCAGATTTATGTCACAGATTCCCTATTGTGTTAAATAAAATGCTTCTGATGAGAAAAATAAACTAAGAAAAGTTGGTTAAACTGCTGAAATACAGAGAATGGATGCAGTGGACTGCAAGCACGTGATTTTTTTTAATTTTACAATTAACTTTCAGTTACTCACCATTTAATGTCACAATGTTTATTCCAACTCCGGCATTGTTCAGAACTGTTCCAAGAACCCTGAGAAAATGACCAAAACATGAGGAACCACCACAACACACCCTGAAGTGATGCAGCAACACCCACCGCAAATGGACAGAAAATCCAAAGGAATTCAGCAAAGCTGCAGAGAAACACAAAACGAGCACCTACATCTTGTTCTGGATGCAGATTTTTGGGCCCACAACATTGGCCGCTCCGCTCAGGATGTAGAAGCTCAGCTGACCCTCTGGACAATCTTGCTTTACAAAACAATGTCCAGCTGCACAGGAAAACACAAATGAATCCCCCAAAAACCCTCATCGGCCCGACTCCACTGACCCCGATCGGCTGATCTGACTGACCGGTGGTAGGGGGGGGGGAGCTGTGGCCACATAAAGAGAGATAGGTCATCAAACGAGGGGAAGATGCTGCCTCCTCCGACCGGGCTGCCGTAGAGCTGCATGAGGAAGGGGATGAGGAGGACCACCGGCAGCAGCACCATGGCAACCCTCAGACACCCTGGAGGGGCACAGAAAAACATCCACACACACAGGTCATCAGCTGTCACCTGCTGGACAACAGCACAAAGGAGGGAGACTCCCTCCTGATTTTTTCCAGTTCGAGTTCAAACCCTAAAAACTGAGGGAACCGCTCATAAAACTCTGCTTCTCATCTTCATGTGTGAAGCATCATATCTGTTCCACTCAGTAAAAAAATCCCTAAATCAATGGGATAAAACCCTTTCTTTTTATTTCCAGTGAGAAAGTGGCTTCATTCAGGACCGGCGAAGAAAACTCACATTTCAGGACGCCTGCTTTTCTCCCCATGTTTGCTTTTCCTAAACCAAACACACAAAAAAGGGGTTATTTAGGACGAGCGCGGTCTGAACTTCTGGAAAGCATCTGTGTTCAGATTTAAGGCCTCATGCAGTGTTGCCAAGTCAGCCGGTCACTTTCAGTGGTCAGAAAAACCGAACGGCTGCTGTCACTCTGTCAAAAACTGGCATCCGTCCCAGACTTTAAGCCTTTCATCCAGTCAAACAGTCTTTGGGACCTCATTTTTGAGAATTATTATTGCAACAATAACACAATGAGTGAGATTCTAAATCTGCTTTTGAGAGTTTAAGCCTTCTTATTGTTAGCCGGATTCTTTTGGCCGTCTGGCGACACCCCGTACAAAAGGCTGGCGTCTGTCCACTCAATCATATTATGTACTCTGAAAACCGCTCTGACTTATCAAAGGGAGACAGAAAGCTCATAGAAAAACACAAATCTGACATAAAATAAAGAAAAGCCCTTTATAACAGTACAACAAGTCATGTTGAGCTTATTACTTTTAAGGATTTCTGTCCAATTAAAAGAAAACTAATAATGCAAACTTTTCCAGGCCAGTTTTGAATCTTTTTGTCTTAAGAAAGAACCAATATTCAACACCTGTTTCACAATATTTCTGACCTGTCTGAAGCAAACTAATGTTTTTCTAATTCCAACATATCTGCACTTGCAGATGAATTCACTAAATTATTGTCTGACTCATCTAAAAGCACATTTTTTCTTTCTGGGATGGTGCAACCACCAACCCAGAAACAAATGACCATCTATTGGATCTAACAGGGACCTTTTCTGTCGGTGGACTCTTCCATAAGTTTTTAGCTGAGCATGCTGTTCTGTCCACACACATGCCCTGGTCAGGCATCAAGCTGGGACTCAGTCTTGCATCGACTTCCTTTAACGGTTTGCACGAAACTTTAAATCTGTTTGAATCGCTTTCTGCTCTTTAATTTTGGCTGTTGCAGAGAGATCTGAATTGTTCTGCATGTTCAGCCTCTCCTCACGTCAGATTATGTATCATTATCCTCCATGAAAGGGAGCAGTTTTCCAAATGATTCGGTGTCCTGTCACAAAAGAATTAGACAAACAGGAAATCCTCTTTGGAGGCATTGGATTTGATCTTGTTTACATAATTTCCAGGTTGAGAGTACAAAGATTATTTAGCCCTGTAAGACCCACAGTTGCAAATTTGCAGAAGAATTTGGAAAAAAAGTGAGTTTTTTTTTCTCAAGACCACATATTTACAGTTAATGGTCCTGTTGTTGGTCCTCACAGGGCAGCTCCTGTTGTCCAGTGGCCTCTGTGGCTCTTAAAGGGTTAATGTTGAGGAGCAGAGGAACATCAACACAGCAAAGTAACAAACCCTGTAAAAGTATTTGTATTGTCTGTCATATTTTAAGAGACAGCAGGAACCAAAGCAGAAGGCACTCCCTGTGATTCTCAGCTCAGAGGTGCAGCAAACTCAAAAGAAGCATCTCAATTCCTAAAATTCCTGTTGGCTGCCAGCGTCACACCTGTGCAGGTAACCCAGCAGAGCCCGGCAAGAGGCAAAAAAAGGGGCCGGCATCAGAGGAACTGACCGACTTTGACGGTGAGCATGTCTGCGATCCTGCCTGCTTCCCTCTGAAGAGTCCATCTGAGGGGAGCAGATCCTGTTCTGCCACCTGCAGACAGCCGGCCAATGAGGTGGAGGGGGAGGGATCTAAAGGAGCACACCTCCTGCCCCCCACCTGCACACATTCTACCCCCCCTGAGTCCTTCATTGTAACATTTACAGTCCAGACGGTGGTAAAATGTTTAAACCAGCTCACTGACCAAACCAAATCCTGAATCCTGCTGGATCTCCTGAATGTCAGCGCTGGGTTTGAGCCCTCCTAAAACCATCCAGAGGAGCTGATGCTCAGGTCCTCTGGTTTGCTCGAGGTGCAGATGTTAAAATGCATTTATTGTCCAGCCTGACGAACCGCACCGTCCAGTCCAGGCTCCACAAATAGAGCCTGTTTCTCTATAATTACACCACCTGTTTTTCCTGTTTGGACAGATGAGTGAAAGGGAGGCATCCACTGGCCAGCTGTCAGGCTCAAACAACTATCATTTAAATAGTTACATCTTTTATGGTTTGTGCTGCTTTAAAGACACTTTAGTAAGTTGGCGTGTTTCAGGAGCCAGTTCGATACTTTCTGCAAACTTCTGACCTAAAAAGCAACAATCGTTTTTTAATCACAGGAAATGAATGTCAGGTGTAAGTTAAGCTATTCCCGACTGGTCCTGTAGTGCATTTTAGTTCCTAAAATAACCCAACAGTCATGCTGGTTTCGCTGTTCTCTGCTGCTTTTAGGAGGTTTTCCTGAACAAGGATGTGCTCTGCTAGGTGCCACCTGAGCTAACTTATGGCTTTAGTCCAAATGTGGTCGTTTGGTTTAATGTTTTCATTGAACAAATGTTTGCTGCTTCTCAGATTCATGTTGACTCAGTATTGAGTTTGACTGTTATCACGAGTTTTTGGGAGTTTGAGTGCCAAGTTTGCCAGATGATTATTCAGTGTTAGTTTCACCTCGTTGGTCAGACTGGTCCGAGAGACAGTCTGGAGCGGCTGCTCTGAATAAAAAACAGCATCATTTAGCTGATTGTTCGTTTTTCTTTTGATTGACAGATTGTTTGAGTGCAGATTTCCCTCCAAAATGAATCAAACCTGCAGAATCAGCTTATTTCTGCTTGGAAATAGAAAACTAAACGAGCTGAATCAAATGTGTTTAAGACAACATTTTAATCCTTCACTGAAATATTTACAGGAGCAAAAGTGTAACATCGAGACAGTGAAACCAGAAGGCGTGTTTACATTCGACAGTGTTTCAAACCCCCCCCCCCCCTGCAGAGGCCTCGGGTCCTTCAGAGCACTTCATGACTGGAAATGCTGAAACTCAGAGGGGACCACAGGAGGCCCAGAGCTCGGTGTGATGGAGCCCTCTGAGGGGACATGAGGCCACATGAAGCAGCCAGAGCGTCCCGATTGGCTGATTTTTTCAGTCTAAATGAAGTGGCTGCTCAGAGGGGGGGAGAGCAGAGACCGGGACCAGAACCAGGACCAGGACCAGGACCAGGACCTGGACCTGTACCAGGACCAAAGACCTCATCCATCACAAAAGACATTTCTATAGCTTAGAAACTGGAAAGACATGGTCTGATATTCTGCTTCTGAAGTGGTTTATCCTGGAATCTCCTTCATGCAGCCCCACATCTGCCCCCCCCAGCTGGTTGTTCTGACAGCTCACAGCTCCAGAACGGTGGGGTGAGTGGGTTTTACATTCAGGTCCTGCTCTAGGTTCTGATCACAGACGGCTGGCCATCGGATCGGATCCCCCGCCGGACCGGAGGGGGGCCCACCTGTCCCAGAGCTCAGGACCAGCTGCACTTCATAGTGTTTTAGACAAAAACAAAGAGGTTGGTTTCCTGCTGAATGTTCAGAGAAGACGGCGCCCCCTGCTGGCTGTGGCCAGGAGCAGCACTGGGGCCCGTTTGGCCCGTTTGGCCGGTCAGAGATGAGCGCTCAGCAGCAGAAAAGAGGCTCTGAGTGCAAACAGTCCATCGGAAGCTGTTTGTCTGCAAGTCCAATCATTCCCACCATGTAACCCTAACACTGCACAGCCCCCCCGCTGGGATGGGGAGGCCCCCGGCCGGCCGGCCCGCTCAGCCCGCCTCCCGGCGCCGGCCGTCTGGACCTGCAGAGGTGCGGCGGGTCTTCATCTCCTCCGGGGACGACGGGGGTCCCCTGGGCTCCGGCTCCCTGGGCTCCGGCCTACATGAGGCTGTTGAGGTGCCCCGAGTGTCCCACGGAGTTCAGCATCAGCGCCCTCTGGTCCAGCAGCTCCCTCTCCCGGCCCAGCGCCGCCCGGTCCTGCTCCAGCAGGGCGCGGTCCCGCTCCAGCGCCGCCCGCTCCCGGTCCAGCCACAGCCTCTCGGCCTGCAGCGCCGCCCGCTCCCGGCCCACCGCCTCCCACTCGCGCTCCAGGCCGGCCAGCGGCCCGTCGCCCGCCGGCTCCACGCCGTCCCCGAACGCCTCCGGGCCGAAGTCGGCGGGGGAGGAGGAGGAGGCGGGCGGGGCCGGGGCCTGGCGGGGGCGGGGCCTGGGGGCGGGGTCTGGATGCTGGTCGTCGTCCTGGGTGACGGGCGTGAGGAGGGGGGCGCTGCTGGCCAGCCGGCCCTCCATGGCCTCGTTCATCAGCTGGAACCAGGGCCAGGAGGAGGCGCCGTCCGCCACGCTCTCCATCCCCACGGGAGGATACTTCAGGTCCTGGAGGGGGGGCACCCAAAGCAGAAAGCGTTAAAGTCTACTCGCACCACACATTTGAAACAACCAAAGCTGTTCCAACAACTGACACTGATGAGAAATCATCCAAACAAACCCAGAAAAACACAGAGATTAAAGGCAGTAAACAGATACAGAAGTCGGTCTAAAACCAAAGAGAAGGAAGATTTAAAGGCTTCTTCTGAGTTCTCCTCCTGATCCCTTCACTGAACCGAAGCTGAGCGGCCAGCTGCTCCTCCTCTGGACCATCTGATCCATAAGAAGGCATCAACACTCAGAAACGAGGTCTTTCAGGATGCAGATCTGATCCACACAGGCTTCCCCTCGGCAGGACGGTGGTTTTAACTACATGTCTGCTCAGCAGGATGAAAAGAGGTTTCTAACAGCAGAGCAGCTATGTGGGGCCAAACTATCTATTCTCATTAAAGTTCTACGTCAGATTTAGGAAGCCTTGCAAGTAGAGCTGGCTGCCATCAGACAGGGGGACAGAAAGGACCCCTGGGGGCTCTCATTGGGCGGGAGAGAGACAAAAAAGGCTTAAGCTGTACTGTTCTGAATACCAGGCAGAGTGGGTCTAACTGAGGGTGAGCATCTCCTGCATCATCAACAGGATGCTTGTGGGGGACAAACCTTGTATCTCCTCTTCAGGTTGTCCCACTTCTTTGCCATCTGGTAGGTGGAGACCTTCCCCTGGAGTCCCAGCTCCTTCAGGATGGCTCTGCAGAGAGGCAGGACAGGCAGCATGAGCACCGCAGCTCCGCCCGCTCAGCAGGAAGCAGGAGGGACCCTTTAAAAGGCGGCGCTCACTTCCAGGCGGCCTTGGCGGCGTTCCTCCTCCCAGTGAACAGCACCTCGTTGGCAGCTCGCAGTTTGATCATCATCCTGGTGTCCTGGTCGGTCACTGTGGCGTTCACACAAACAGCAGAAAGGTTTCAGCTCCTACTGACTCTGCCTCTTATCCCCTCGGGGCTTCAGCGCGAGACAAAAACATGATTTTGTCACTCCGAGCACTAGGAATCCAGCTGCCTGCACAGAACCTGAGGAAACCCATTTAAACCCATCACGTCTGTAGGGATGGGGATCGAAACCCGGTTCTATCAAGGACCCGGTTCCACTTTTTTCAAAACCCGAAAATCAATAACGTTTGGGCTTATCGATACCACTATCGAGTCTGGTCGTTTTTTTTATTATTACAATAGTAATTGTGAAATCCGTGTTGTAATCGGCAGCATACAAACTAGTTAGCTTGAAAAGTAAATAAAGTTTCAGACGTGCTGCGTGATGATGTGTTCAGATTGGCTCAGTAAAACAACAATTAGGTTATCATGATGCGTTTAAGTGTAACGTAAAGAAAAGGGAAATTGAGTTTTTGGCGAGAAACATGAGTAATACAGTTGTATATTGCTCTAATTATTTTAGAATATATAATTAAACTCCTGATGCCAACATTTATTAAAAATTACATTTAATTTAAAATACAATTATTTATTTGTTAAATATTGTTGCATCGTCTTTCCACCAAATAACAGAAAAGTATCGATAGTGGTATCGATAAAGACTCGGATCGATAAGGAGTATCGATAAAGGTATCGATATTAACGATCCCCATCCCTACACGTCTGTGCATCTAAAGCCCCCGGCGGCCGGGCTGTGAGGCTCTGGGGATGAGCGGTAATGGCGGGCGGCTCACTCTTGTAGGACAGCTCGGAGAGCGTGGAGCACTCCTCCCCGCTGGCGTCGATGTAGGTGATGCTGCCGTCGGCCTCGGCCTCGCCGCCCACCATGCCCTCCAGCTCCGGCACGCCGCCCCGGGCGCCCAGCAGACAGTCTCTGTCGGCCGGGGGCGACGCCACCGACACGCCGTCCTCCTCCGTGCTCCACACCGGCGCCACTCTGGGGGCTTTGCCCGCCAGACGGCCCTCCAGGGCGTCGCCCATCAGCTGGAACCAGGGCCAGGAGGCCGGGTTGGTCTGGGCCTCCATCCCCCGGGGGGGGAACTTCAGGTCCTTCAGGCACACAGAGGAAACACGGCCGGTCAGGAGCTGCCCTCCAGACCTCCAGCTCTTCTAACATAATACACTTATGAAATGTAGAACAGTCCCATGAAAAACAGTCCAAGACTACAGAACTGAGCAGTTCAGGTCTACAGCACCACAACAAACAGACCCAGAATCAGCTGCTTTCCTGTGGCCAAAACCACCTGAACCCCCACATGCACCGATAAACACTAATAATAACGAATAACATCCCACCCTGCAATATGCAATATTTACTGTTTTTATCCTACAATGTGCAATATTTACAACCATATTTTACTATTTATATAGCTATATATTTTATTCTTTAATCCACAAAGACCAGGACTGTGCAGCTTTCCTCCTAATGTTTGTTCTGAGTGTATTTTTGCTAATTGATACACTGATATTTCAGTTTGGATTGGGCTTTAATCTGGTTGTACATGTGTTTAGTGACAGCCAAAAGGCCTTCTGATTCTGACTCTACAGATCAAACTGCGGAGCGTTTGTCACCTTGAACTTGGTCTTCAGGTTGTCCCACTTCTTGGCCACCTGGTCGGGGGTTATTTTCCCCGTCAGACCCATCTCCTTCACGATTCCCCTGTAGCAGAAGCAGACAGCAGGAGGCTGAGTGGGCGCTGCCCCCCCATCCATGCTCCCCCCCGCCTTCTCTGGGTGGTGCTCACCTCCAGGCCGGTTTGACCGTGTTCCTCCTCCCAGTGAACAGAGACTCGTTAGCAGCTCGCAGCTCGATCAGCCGCCTGGTGTCATCCTCCGTCACTGCCCACAGACACAGAAACAGCTCGGGTTAGACCTCATGCCCAGAGACACAGCTCAGGTTAGACGCCTCACACAGGACCTCATGCTCTACGTTTGGTCTGAGCAAAGGGAACCCAGCACAATCTGTTCCCCAGACACACATTCTTCAAGCTCCTTGTGTTTAGCTCCCAATTCTGAGTTAATGTCTTTGCCACCAGTGTTGTTGCTGCCTGTGTCTTTGTTCAGGACTCCTAAAGGGTCCCGGTCTGGATCCCCACAGAGACCACAGGAGGGTTTTTTGTCTGTTCCAGATGTAGCAGCTGGCTGTGTGGTTTTGCTGTCTTTTCTTTTCTTTCTCTCTGTCTAAAAGTATCTTTCTCCTTTTCAGGTTAGTTTGATTCCTCTTCCCTGTCCTCTGTCAGCTTTGGTGTTTTTGGAAACATGGAAAGTTTTATGACAAACATAAATAAATGCTGCGCTGTTGGACAATCGGGAGGGGCCAAATGTGTTCAGCACAGATTTCAGTTCTGCTGCCACAACGCTGAGAACAAGGTTGAATAAGGACAGAGAGGGGACCCGGGACCGGCCGCTGTTCGTACGTTTGTAGCTGAACTCGGACAGCCGCTGCAGCTCTCCCAGCGAGGACCCGTTCTTCTCCTCGCCGTCCACCAGCAGGTCCATCTCCGACTCGGTCAGGAACTCGGCCATGCCCCCCCGGCTCCGGCGGGCGCGCTTCTTGGGCGTGGAGGACAGCGGCTCGCAGTCCTCGTCCTCGTACTCCAGCACGGGGGACAGGATGGGCGCGGCGCCGGCGAAGCGGCCCTCCATGGCGTCGTTCATCCTGCAGAACCAGGGCCAGGAGCTGGGGTTGGTCTCCACGCCGCGGGACGGGAACTTCAGCTCCTGGGGGAGACAGGAGAGGCTTAACCTCCCCCCCCCTCCATCCGGGAGGGTGCAGCCGGACAGGGACTCACCTTGTACCTCCTCTTCAGGTTGTCCCACTTCTTGGCCAGCTGGTCGGTGGTCAGCTTGCCCTGAAGGCCCAGCTCATACAGGATGGCTCTGTGGGACAAAACAAGCTCAGCTTTCATCAGCTGACCCCACGGCAGTCCAGCACAAACACAGTGAGAACGCCTTGTTTCAAAAGGCAGGAAAACACACAACCAGAGTCCATTCTGAGACGCTTTCAGACAAAGGAGGAGGACTTTTCTAAGCTTTTCTGTGGAAAATCTTATCAAATCCTTGTTTAACTTTGACCACAAAGGCAGGTTTTCTGAAGGTTTGTCCAGAAATCGCATTAATTTGTTTTTTTTTAAAGAATTCTGGTCCATGACTAACAGGAGACTCTTTTCTACATTTGTGGAGCACTTCATCAGCTTATTTCAGACAACCAGATTTAACGTGTCGCTGATGAGTCCCCATTCAACACTAAGTCCCTGAGAATATTCAGAGGTTTGGGGACTCTGATCCGAACAGGAGTTCTCCTTTGTTGAACGTTGGTGGCTGTGACGGGGAAACAGAGAGGCAGAGACCAGGGGCACGCACCTCCAGGCCGGCTTGGCCGAGTGTTTCCTGCCAGTGAAAAGCGCCTCGTTCGCAGCCCGAAGCTTGATCATCCTCTCTGTTTCTGGCTCCGTCACTGAAAAAGAGAAAGTCTCTGATGTTTTCTGACAGTTTCTGAGTTGTTTTTTTTTCTATTTGTAGTGCTTTTATGAATATTTTGGGGGAAAATGTCCCTAACATGACTGGCCCGACTGTTTCTGAACTTCAGATTAAAACCAGAGAATAAGAATAACATCTGACAGCTCAAACTTTAAGACATCCCATCATGCAGAATGTAACTTTTAGCATCAGCTAATGGCATTTTTCTCTTTTTCAGACCAAAAAGAGGAAAAAAAGGGGCAGAATAACACTGCACAACGACTAAAGACGAGTCCAGACAGGAATGAGGCCGAGCAGAGAAACAGGGATGGTGTGTTTGGTGCAGATTAATTTAATTTCCAGCCATTCGGGCGACCTCCTGACTGCCTCCACCTACTCTTGTAGGAGCACTCGGTCATCCTCCTCCAGCCCATGGGGACCCCCTCGGCCGGGGGGGCCTCTGCGTGCACCGTCCCGTCGCACTGCGCCGCCTCAGCCGCCACAGAGTCGTCCATCTCCGTCTTGATGAGGAACTCCAGGATGTCGGTGCTCTCCTGGTGGGGCTGCGGGGCGCCGGCGGCCGCCAGTGGGCTCAGCGCCAGGCTGCTGTTGTACAGCCGGCCCTGCATGGCCTCGTCCATGATGTGGAACCAGGGCCACGACTCCACCACGCCCCCGTTGTGGTCCTGGCCCTGGTAGGGCTGCTTCAGGTCCTGGAAGATAAGCACAGTGACCCCTGCTGGATAAATCCACAGTAAGAAGAAACAAGCTGTCCGTCAAGCAGCTCTCAGGAGAACTCATGCAGAAACATCTGTTCTGCTCCAAAAACTATGCCTTCAGGCTTTAAAGGCGGCGCTCTTGACTCTGGGCCTTTATTTAAGACAAATTAAATGTTTAAAAAAGCCCTTTTTCTCAAAGCTCAGCACACTTACAATAAAATAACTAAAAAGCAATAACAAATGCACAGAAACAAAATAAAGCCACTTAAAATACTAAAATCTGCTTTAATGTGCAGCTTCAAGTCCTTCATTAACTTACCATGACGAGGGAAATTAATTCAAAATAAGGAACTTAATTCATCCCACAGAGAAATGGCACCACAGCGAAAATCTGAGTGAACTCTGAACTTTTACAGGGCCTGAAACCATCTTAAAGCTTTCAGAATTTATTGTGCCGTGAAGTGATTAAGCCAGTGAAAAGAGGATGGATTTTTAAAGCACGTTCTTCTTTTCATTGGTCTGGTTTCAACCTGCAGGAAAATGCTTCCAAAGGTTTAAAACCAGCTCAGATTTAAGCTGTTTGGAGACGCCAACATTTCCCAGCGTCTTACCTTATATTTGGACCGCAGGTTGTCCCATTTCTTGGCGATCTGGTCTGCAGTCAGCTTCCCTTCCAGCCCCAGACCTTTCAAGATGGTGCTGAGAAACCCAGGAGAGGACATCAGACAGGGAGTGAGTCCTAACAGCTGAAAACCAGCTGGATGCTTCCTGCTCTGCTGTTTAAACTCTGACATAAACCTGTGATCACACATCAACATCTGAGCCTCTGATCCAAACCAGAGTCCAGAGAACTCAGAGTTCTGCTGGTTTTCCTCCAGAATGAGGCTTCATTTCCCTGGAAATGAGCTCTGTTCCAGCAGATATTACAGTAATTAGTGTAAAATGCATGTTGAAGAGATGGAAACAGGTTCATTTGGGGATCGTTTCATACCTCTGAACAGAACGGGTCAAAGCGCAGAAGATGGTGGTAAATGGGAGGAAAATATGAGGGTTAAGTTTTAAAATGAGAGGAAATATTAGGAGCAGCTGCCGTCCTGAGTGAACATGGGATGGATGTTTAATTCAGCTGTGAGTCTGGGACACCAGAACCCAACATCTGGATCCAGAACAGCGTTGGTGGGTCTTGATGACACAACAACAGATCTGAAGATCTAAACTTTGGAGGAGTTTTTTGAGGAAAATCTGATGATAATTCAGATTATAAAAAATATCCAGCCCCCCTTTGGCCAGGACGGGTGTAACATCTGGTTTAGTCCGATAATTTCCTGTGTTTTGCATCAGAAAAACTGATTCATTCTCCATTTTCAGGAGAATGGTAACAGCAAACATCAGAAAAAAGGAAATCTCTGCCTCGTTTGAGTCTAAATGGATCACAGGAGGAAGCTTTGCTCCTTCACCCACTGCATACCTCCAGGCTAACTTGGCTGAGTTCCTCTTTCCTGTGAACAGAGCCTCGTTTGATGCCCTGAACTCAATCAGCCTCTTCACATCTTCCTCTGTCACTGCAGGTGGAGGGGTCAGAGGTCACAGGTCACAGGTTAGCCCGCACAGCACAGCTGTCTGAGACTCTAGGCTGCTGGTACTCACTCTTATAGGAGTTCTCTGGGAACTGGGGGTTCAGGGCCGGTTCCATACTGACCATGGAACAAGCGCGCTAGGGAGGAAGGAAGGAGGCAAGGAAGGAAAGAAGGAGACGAGAAGGTGTGTTGGTACACAGGCCCGATGCTAACCGCTTAGCCGCTTGCTTCCCCCCGTAGCGGCGCCCCTGTCCATCCTGCGGGGTCGGTCCGGGCCGGATACCGCCCCTCCGGCCGGGCGGCGGCTGTCCGGGTCCTCCCGGGCTGGCTCCCGGTAGCCGCTAACGGGGACCGGGCTGCGGGCTAGCACGGGCGGCTAGCCCCGCACAGCGGACCGACTCAGGGCCGGGCCTCCCGCCGCACAGCCTGCGCGGCTTCCCGCTGGTCCGGGCCGGTTCCGACACCCGCTGCCGGCCGTGGGTTTAAGTCATGGCTCCCGCGGAGCACGGCGGTGAAAGCAGCCGTTAGCCCGTTACCGTTAGCGGGGGGAGCCGCTCTCCATCAGCCCGCTGAGGGGTGGGTGCGTTCGATAGCCTCACCGGGGCCCGTCCACCGTCACATGGCCCAGCCGGGCGGGCGGACACATCCTAAACAGAGGGTAATCTATCTATCTATCTATCTATCTATCTATCTATCTATCTATCTATCTATCTATCTGTCTATCTGTCTGTCTGTCTGTCTGTCTGTCTGTCTGTCTGTCTGAAACTATTGTTGGTAAATCAAATTATTATTATTATTATTATTTTATCTTTTTCAGAGGCCATCTCTCTCAGAAAATGCCCTGTTTATAGTTTCTTGAAAAAGAAAATATACATAAATATAAGAAGAAACTAAATTGATAAACTAATCTGTGAAAGGCAAACAAAAGCATATTACGATACATATTAAAGGGACATTTTATTTTAATTATCTACAGCTGTTATAATTTGTGCTCTTTTTGCAGGAATTGATCGCTTTCTGACTGTTATTCAGTTTAAGTTATTAAAACTATCAGGAAGACAGACTTTTTTAACACACGTTTAGGCCTACATTATATGCATTTAAAAAGATTGTATCCATTTTTGCATTTTCCGTATGTTTTGATTCATTTTACAGGAGAGATGCCAATAAGCATTGACGCACGAAGATGTGTGACTCCTGTATCCTGTTTCTCCTTTCTTACTTTAAAATTTTTTATCATTATGAAAAGCAAGAAAAGTAAGATATTCAACAGAAAAAAGAAAGAATGGTGACTTTTTTGCATATGAAATTGCATACTTTTTTGCATATGAAATTGAACCAAACAGCAAAATAGAGTAAATATTTATATCCTAGAAATCACTTAACTTGAACAAGTAAACATTGATTTTAAGTGAAAAGGTATGATAAAATGTTTGGCTCCTTTATCTGTTTTTAAAACACTCTCATGACTCTCCTCCATAAGGCCTACATCCACTAGCTGTAACAGATCCAGTCCTGATGACTTTGACTTGTCTCCATCTTTGGGGGGTGAACGGCCCTCTGCTGGCAGCAGGAAGACACTCAGGATCAACCTGCTCAGCATCCTGCAGCACTCAGTCAAGTTCAGGACATTAACATGGTGCACAACCGGAAGTGGACTTTCCAGATACCTTCTCACCAATTTTCATCAACCAGGCTCCAAATTGCTGACTGATCAGCTCTGCAGGATGGAGTTTTGTCGTGGAGCTTGAGTTGATGGGTCTTTTCTGAACATAAAGTCCCCCAAAACCTCCTTTTAGTGAAGGAATTAGTCTAAAACAGAAGGATCTCTTCATCTCTGCAAATTGTTTCATATGTAGACATTTATTGGTTAATTTATTAAATTATAGGATAGTTTTTTAAAAACACTAACAATTTTTTTTTTTTGCAAAACCAAAATGTAGTTTTTTTAAAGGCCAAAAATGCTCTCAATAAAAATCCAATGAATGAAGATGAATTCATGTCTACTCCAGATAATCAATAAATATGTGTTTTTTCCTTTTTAAAATATGTATTGTATTACATTTTTTGTAAACATGTAGCTTCCAAATACAAATGATTTTAACCTTTTTATCAGCAGGATTTTGATGTTTGGGTGATTTCTGTGTGGGGCCTCACAACTGATCTCATCACATGTGAATTTAAGGTCAGTTGAGCTTATATTAAGCATATTTTCAAAATCAATTGAAAAACCTCAGGACGAAGATTTATTTTTAGATCCAAACCGGAAGTGGAGTTGCTTCCGGCCTAACTTGACTCGGTCGCGTCCTGATGCTGAGTGATGGAGTCCGTGTTGCAGGTCACGTCGGTATAAACATCACAGGCTCGTGAACCTCAACTGCTTTCTCGTGCACGACCTGCTGATTGCTGCGCAGGTGAGATCACGTGACCCTCTCAGGTGTTTCTGTCCCTGCCGATACGGATCGTTCCCGTCTGGGTCCAGTATCGATTACGCCTTTTGCCGTGGACTCGGTCAATATAATACTATTCTGATTGGTCTTTTCGGCACATTCTGGTATGTTGCTCATCATTATGGTAAAGATGAGCAGAAGCAAGAACACATATCCTCTTAGTACAAATAACAGCCAGGAAATGCTTCATTAGGATTTAAGTCATTACCTGAAACTGTGTCTTTAAGAACTAAACGTTTAAAGGTTTTGTTTACTTTCAAGTCAGACTGGTCAGATTGATTCAAACTGGGTCAAATCACAGCAAATGAAACGTGAGGAGGCTCCAGGCTGAGTGCAAACAAACCCATCTGTGCAGGAGGCGGCGGTGGGGAGAGAAGCCTCCATCAAAGGAGGAACCTGGACCGGCCGGGTTGGGCTCAGTTAGGGATCTGTGACCCTGTGACTGTGTGTGTGCAGCATCATGCTGGCCAGGAAGGGCCTCCTGCCGGACGGCTTCCTGTTGACCCGCCTGGCGGAGGACCAGAACCAGCCCAACCGCAGCCGCGTCCGGTCCCAGAGGGCCCGCTTCATCACCAAGAGTGGCTCCTGCAATGTGGCCCATAAGAACATCAGGGAGCAGGTGGGTCACTTTGGTGGAGCCTGGCACTCAGAAAACGCTGATTAAAATGGAGCAGAAGCATTTGGGGCCTCAGAAATGACACCATGATCAGATGTATGGCCGTTTTCTCTCCTATGATCTAGGAAAGTGGCGTTTAAATGTCTGACAGAGGCTCCAGAACAGAGCTGTGGGGAACTCTGTCCCTCTGGGGGCTTGTTTCAGGGAGTTGTCCCTCCTAAAAACAGCCAAAATACACAATAGATCTTCTTGTCATCAATAGGATTTAAAAAGATGAAAATACTCTAAAACAAAATATTGTTTTTTCCAGTGAAAGCAGCCTGCATTTCTGATGTGTTGCTGTTTTTTGTTTTTGTTTTCATGAAACAGAAAGTATTGGAACTTTTATTTTTAAAGATTAAGCTTTTAGATTAAGCATCTCCTTGTTTGTGAAACCTGTTTTTTGTAATTTATTCTCACCATATTTAACAATGACTTTAATATAAGAATTAATTGATATATATATATTGTGCCTTAAAAAAAGATTTTAACGACTTCAATCTCGTGATTTATTCCACTTGTTTGTTTTTTTATAATTTAAAAACCTTTTTAATAAAATTAGAAAGTGTGGCCCTGATTCCAGCTGTGATACCATCACAGCTGGAGCGTCTGCAGTGGCCTCCTCTGCTTCCTGTGCGCTGACTGCTCTGCTGGTGTGTCTCAGGGTCGCTTCCTGCAGGACGTCTTCACCACCATGGTGGACCTGAAGTGGCAGCACTCCCTCCTCATCTTCACCTCGGCCTTCCTCTGCTCCTGGATGCTCTTCGCGATGGCCTGGTGGCTGCTGGCCTTCGCTCACGGGGACCTGGAGCCCCGGGACCCGGAGGGGGACCCGGGCCCTGTGCCCTGCGTCACCGCCATCCACTCCTTCACCTCCGCCTTCCTCTTCTCCATCGAGGTCCAGGTGAGTGCTCACCAGCGCCCCCTGCTGGCTGAAGCCCCTGGCCCCAAGCTCACCGGCTCCGCCCTCAGGTGACCATCGGGTTTGGCGGCCGCATGGTGACGGAGGAGTGCCCGCTGGCCATCGTGGTCCTGATCGTGCAGAACATCCTGGGGCTGATCATCAACGCGGTGATGCTGGGCTGCGTGTTCATGAAGACGGCGCAGGCCAACCGGCGGGCGGAGACGCTCATCTTCTCCAGGAACGCCGTCATAGCGCCCCGGAACGGCCGGCCCACCTTCATGTTCCGGGTCGGGGACCTGAGGAAGAGCATGATCATCTCAGCCACCATTCAGCTTCAGGTGGGGGGCCGGACCAAATCAATAGTAAAAACTCATTAAAAAATATGATTAAAAGGGAACAAAGAAGGTTATACTATCAACGTTTTTTTTAAAAACATGTTTTATATGAAAATGATTGCCGGGCGGCCCCCCCCTGACCCGCTGTGACCCCGCAGGTGGTCCGGCGGACGGTGACGGCCGAGGGCGAGGTGGTCCCGGTCTGCCAGCTGGACATCCAGGTGGAGAACCCCCTGAGGAGCAACGGCATCTTCCTGGTGTCTCCTCTGATCATCAGCCACACCATGGAGCGCAGCAGCCCGCTGTACGAGCTGTCGGCCCAGTCGCTGGCCTCAGAGGACCTGGAGGTCCTCGTCATCCTGGAAGGTGAGAAGCAGGCCAAAGCTTTCAGCTGAGTTAGCTAATGCAGGCAGAAAAAACACGCTTTTAAAGGGCAGAGATGATTAAATTGAGGATTATTTAGAGACAACAGAGGGAAAAAACGACCACAAACAAATAAAAAATGGGCCCAGCACAGGGCCAGCAGGCCTCCCTAACAGAGCTCCTTGTGTCCCAGGCGTGGTGGAGACGACGGGGATCACCATGCAGGCGCGCACCTCCTACACGCCGGAGGAGATCCTGTGGGGGAGGCGCTTCGTGTCCATCATCACGGAGGAGGACGGCCGCTACTGCGTGGACTACTCCAAGTTCGGCAACACGGTCCCGGTCCGGATGTCGTCGCTCAGCGCCAAGGAGCTGGACCAGACCCGGGGGGTGCAGGAGGGCGGGTCGGAGGCCCAGCTGCAGGGCTGGGGGCTGGTCCGGGCCGGGAGGGGGGGCTTCCGCCGGGGGGGGCGGGGCTGCGACGGCGCCACCCCTCAGCCGTGGTACGCCCAGGCGGAGAAACCGGAGAAGGAGGTGGAGCAGAAAGGCCAGAAGAAGAAGGTGCAGCTGGAGGTGATCGGAAGGAAGATGGAGGAGGACGGAGAGGAGGACATGAGTGACTGAAGGGAGTCCCAGCTGCCCCGGAGTCAGACTCCCTTCACACTGAGGGGGGGTTCAAAACCTCCCATCAAAATACAAAGCTCAGGAGACAACATGCAGAAAGGCAAGTTCACCATGGGGAAGAGCCAGAGAGCACTGCTTAAACAGAACAACATCCCAGAAAAACAGACAAAAGGAGACAGAATAACCACAAATTTGACAGTTTTGACCTCCAGCTTTCACAGCCACTCACACAAAGCAAGGCCAAGCTCATTTAAGAAAGGAAAGTCTAAAATATACACTTTTAAATCTAAACTCTGAGCTAAACTCCATCAGAGAATCATCGACAAGCTCAGAAAATCTCTCTGAGTCAGACTGAGAAGAGCTTCGGCCTCTCAGCAGAACACTGTGGGGAGATTCAGGGAGTCAGAGCTGCCACCAGGACCCAAACAGCCCAGAGGGCTCAGGGGCAGCCTGGAAGAGACATCTGCACACTCCTGAAATGAGGTTAAAAAAATACATATATATATCACAGCAAAAAGACATTTCTGAGAAGTGACCAAAACAAGCACAAAGAGGCAAAAAACCACGACACAAACACGACCGGATCCAGTTTCTTCCTCTTTCTGCATCACCTGCATTCTGACTCTTTCTGCTATTTTCACCCCTTTGGTGTCTGAATTCATCACAAACTCAAACCTGCTGACCAGAGATTGACAGATAATGTCCTCATGTTTGTGTGTATGTTAACCGCTACAGGACAACACTGTACATCCAGAAAATAATCTTTATGTGTTTCAGAAGTTACTTTGATGGCTAGTAAATGTGTTTTTGTATTTAAATAAATTATTTGTGTGAAGTTATAGGACCTAGAAATGGTGTTATTCATGTTTTCTGCTGAAACAATTAAGACATCAGCTGAACGTCACAATGTTTAGAAAGGTAGGTGAAGGTGGTTAGGGTAAGGGCTAGGGGTTAGGATTAGGGTTAGGGTTAGGGTTAGCTCCTGACTCATTCACACCCTATGACGCAGCAGGTCAGCAGGCTCTGGATGGACCTCAGTGGAAGGTCAGCAGCAGTTGGAGTCCAGTTTGGGTTTCCTGAAGTCAACGATGACTTTTTTCCCCAAAGAAAACACTTAGCAATTTGACTTATTCTGCTTTTCGCATCAGAGCAGAACTGAGGGGGAGTGAAATCAAACACACACGCAGCTCATGAATGAACGCTTTATTGTTCAAATTTCACAATATGACATGAAAAATTAGTGAAGAATATCTAATATTTTTCTTGTGACGTCATGTGATTTTAAACTGACACCTGAGAAGCTGAAGAGGCAAACGAGGAGCTCCGGGCTCACAGCCAGAGCCAGCAGAGGCCCAGCAGGGCGCCCACCAGGCCGGGCGCCACCGTGGGGACGCCGTTCCCCGAGTTGCACAGGTTGTTGTTGCAGCATCTGTAGGTGAAGCTGGAGATGGACGGGAACATCTGGGTGAGGCGGGAGATGTCGCAGTCGGTGTAGCGGATGCACTGGCGGATGGTCTTCCCGCCTGGAACCGCATGGAAAAACACAGGATCACATAAACCGGACGGAAAAATATGATTATTGTTTTATGTTTTGAGAAGCCTTTAATCCTATCAGGCACCAATTTGGATAATTTCAGTCAAGAGCTTTTTCCAAATGTTTAACGTCATGTTTGATGAGTGCAGCGGCTGTGTGGCCGAACTGACCTCTCTCACTCAGAGAAATGCAGGAGTCCTCATACGTGCACTCCTGCACGTTCTCGCAGCGTCCCGTGTAATCCGAGCACTTGTAGCAGCGAAGTCCAGAACCTGGAAAACAAAAAAATACGTTTTTCATTTAAAAAAAACAATCTAATTAAACTTTCAGACATGGGTCAGCTGAGAAAACTCTGCCAGTATGAAGGAGAGCCGAGAACCAGATTGTGTAACTGGTCTGTAAGATTCACCAAAAAAAGGCTTTTTTTACATTTAAAACAGCTTTTAATCTTCAATATTTCTCAGTTTGCCCCATATTTGCTTTAAGTTCTCTTCTCTGATGAGGGAAACTTACCAGCTGTTTCTGATGACCAAACAAGTCAAAGCCGAGTTAAAAGTTACTGACCACACAGCCAGAATGAACTGGACTAGAACTGAGGGAAAACCATGGATCCTTTGTATCGTTTCCATCTGTGCTCCTTAAAGGGCTTCTGCTTTTCAGCTCTCTGAAGCCCAAAAAATGCCTGGAGGAAAGCCTCCAGCCAGCAACATGAGTAAAAGAGAAGAGTCCGGGAAAGAAAATGAGAAAAAGTTAAAAGAAATTCAAACACGCCCTCCCCTCATCATCATGGGAAATGCCATTGTCAGATAAAAGTAGTATCAAAGAGGTTTAGAATATCCAGTCCTGTGCTTTCCAAAAGACTTTGATGATAACCAGAGAGGGGAAAGCAACTTTTCTATTCAGTCCCATCCAATCTTCCCAAGAAAAAGCTTGGTCTCATGTTTTTGGTGTATTTCTTGGTTTGTTAAACCAGTTTTCTGCATCAATAACGACAGAGATTTGGTGTAGTGTTAACACAGCATCACATAATTTATGTCAATTTGTCATTTCTTCATCACGCCCTCACCTCTGTTGTGTGTTTATTTGAATGTTCAGGCTTCTGTGCCACCTTTTCCCATGTTTTTTAAGTTTTATTTTGCTCCAAATAAATTCCACAAAAGCAGATTTATTAACCATTTTTGTGTCAGTTCTTGACACAAGTTCTTGATTTTGTGAAAAGGATGTCATTGTGTTTGCTTAAAAGGTGAAAATTAAGAGGTTTAGTTTTCTCTGAATGCTAATCTAAAAACAGTAAAAATGGATGCATGTGTGTGGTTGTGGGTCTGCAGAGTCCAGTTCGTGTTTGTTGTCCTGTTGCACTCACCGGTGTGCAGCATCCCAGAAAAGAGCAGCAGGACCAGGCCGAGGCAGCGCTTCATGTCGTCTCCCAGCTGAAGTGAGGCAGGCAGCAGAGGCAGCGCGTCCGGCTCCGTGAGCGACTCCGACCCAAAGAAGACGGCCGCCCTCTGACTGCAGCTCTTTGTCCACTGGACCACAAAGACGTGCTGTCAGCTCAGACGTCCTCCTCCTTCTCCTCTCCAACAATCACTGGGCCTCTGCTCTGCTCAGGGTTTTGTTATGTTGCTCATGTACACGGCTTCTCACCCTCAGTGTTGGCCAAAAGCCCTGAGTCACCACACACATTCACGCATCTCTAAAAAAAGAAAATAAATGCCGGGAATTATTCTCAAACATGAGTCAGAACCAGAACCTGTAGCAGAGCCAGAGCTGGTGTGGTTCTGAAGCTTAAGTCTCCTCTGAGCTCTGAGCTGCTTCCTCCTCCCCTTCATGGAGAGCATTTCTGATGACGCCACCAGGAGATGGTCAGCTGGAGGTCCAGATGCAGCTCTCAGCTCCTGTTCAGCTCTCTGCTGGATCTGCTCCTCTTTCTGAAGGACCTCACTTTCAGATCCTCTTCATCTGCTGGATTAGAGGGTTTTTCAGGCCCAGCTCTTCTTCTTCTGTCCTCCACTGGTCCAGTTTCCTCAGATGTTTTAAGGACTTACTGCTCACCAGGCTGAGATCTGCCCAGTTTTCAGCCAGCAGCTCTTTGGGAATCCTCAAAAATCCTGTTTCCTGTCTGTCAGACTGGGTTTTCTTTGGCCTTTTTCCCCAAGAGCTACAGAAATGGAACAAATGATGTGTCTCTGTGACAGGCTGCTGCTGACAAAGAGCTTGGAAATCCACTTTGAACTGCTGCTTAGTTGTCTGATCTGTGTAGACATAACGCTGGCTCAAAGAAAAGCAGGAGAACTATTAATCAGGACCACTTTTTGGATGGAAACATAAAGAAACAATCTTTTAACACCATTGTAAAGCAGCATATTTGAATCCTTGATGAGTCCTGTTGGTATACAGTCTTCCATTTTCAGCCCAGTCAAAGTCTGACAGAACCAAAACATTTCAACGTTTCGTCTTAGTCTAAAAGTTCAGCATAAGTGACCAATCTGAAGTGTGTGAGCTTCTCATCCGCCCACAGGGCAGCCTTTCAGTCTGTCTCCTCGACTGAAACGTGGGAAAAACTGGCGTCGGTTTGGAATGCGAGTATTTTTCCCTCTCAGACGCCTTCAGACTCCAGACAACCTTTAGAGTCTTGTTCTGTTTTTCCTTTCCGTCATAGTTTTTGTTATTTTATCCCCTAAGATCTGGTTGTTGGTTCACTTTCCCGTTTTGGCTCCATTTCCACATCTGTCTCCAGCTCCTCCACAGCTGGAGTCACTTTTATTTCCCCTCAGTGTGTCTTCCACCTGATCTGTGGAAGTACATACTCCTGTTGGCTTCCTCTAAACACACAAGGACCTTTAAAAGGGGAACATCTGCTGACCTTCCAAAAACTTTGTCTTGACTGGAGTCAAAACCTAGTAAAGAGGAGCTGGAGGAGGTTTCAAAAATTTCTCGGCTTGATCCTGATGGGAAAGGTGAGATACCCAGTGCATGAAAATGGAGGTTGGCATCCCTGATGAGTGCAGGAGGAAGTAAATCTAAGTTGTCCTGACACAGCTGCAGAAGCAGCTCTGTCTGGGTGGACAGATTCTGCAGACCGAGTGGGAACAGGAAGGAGGAGGATCACGCTGGGGAATTCTGGAGAACATCTGCAGTCCAGATGTTGCTCTGCTGCCCACGTTGTTACTGACTTCTGGGGAGCTGTTTCTGGACTGTCTGTCGATTTTAGTTTTGAACTTTTCAGCAGGTAAACGTGTGTCTAATTAAAGTCTTTAAAATGGAAAAAGTCTCTTTAAGTGGGAATAAAATCCCAGCGTCTTGCTTTGGGCTTAATTTATTTGATGCCTTTGTTGCCTGATGATGAACTTAATCTGGTTTAAACCCGACATCAGCATGCAGTGTTTGCATTAATGTTTGCACAAAGTACACAAAGGTGAAACTGGCACAGTTTGATTGGACCGTGAGCACATGTGGATGTGAAGTCTGGGTGTGAACAGCCTCCAGAGGTACAAATCCTGAACCAACCTGTGTGCCCACCCCCCTCCACCCAGAGGCGGCTCAGTGTGTCTGTGCATTGTGTGAGGCGGGGCTGGGCCCGTGACAGACGGGACCGTCGGCTGCAGATAACAGTGGGCGACTGTCCGGCCAGCAGCAGCTGCCCGGGGCTGCGTGCAGACGCTTTTCTCTGGGAAAACTTCACTTTCCAGCAGCAGCTGACAGAGGAGCATTAGTCCGGTTAACACAGCTCACAATAAAGACAGATACTGACACTATGATCAGAGATAATTCTGAACTTTCACCCGATTCTCTGTCAAAAACATCTGGATCTAAAATCAGTTACATGAAACAAAATCTGACCCTGTGCCTTTGTAAGGAGGCTGAATTAATCTGATTTATGTCACGCAAACGGGCCCTGATGTCAGGTTTTGGGACTTTCCTGATCATGAGGAGCGATCCTCTGAATGGACGCTTTGTCTTTATGTTTTGTGTTTCCAAAAAGCTTCCGTGGGTTTGTAGGAGCTGCTTTCTGTAGATGCTTTCTATAGATGCTGGAGCCAGATGAGGGTCGGCAGCTTCTTTTTTTTCTAGCATGGGGTCTTCTCCCTGTGGCAGTGCCCTGAATACCTCCACAGGGAGGCGACCAGGAGGCCTCCTAACCAGAGGCTCTGACCTCCTCAGCTGCCTCTGCCCTTCATAGTTTACCGATCAGAACCAACCATGAACCATACCTGAAGTCTCAAACTAAGCCTGATGTGACTCCTCGGACCTTAGAGGTCAGAGACCTCACAGTCCAGCCTCTCTGTCAGCGGACTTGGTGTGACTCAACCCGACTGCTCGGCCTCCTCTCACATGGAGCCATTCAGAGCGTCTGTTGCTGCCCTCTGAGTCCCGGCTGCTCGGCCCATTTGCCCCAGAGCCGACAGCTTCCTCCGGTCCCGCTGACTGGTGTCCAAAGGGCTGTGAAACTCGGCAGGAAGCTGTTTGTGCTCCGATTATACGTCTCCTGGAGACAGGCTCCCACTTTGAATCATTTCTGAACTGAATGTGTGAGTTGTTGCTTTGAGGGGGTAAATTGTTTGTCAAGTGGCAGGCGGCCTCCAGAACCCCTGACCCGGCCCGGCCCCGTCTGCTGCCCACAGAGTCCATCTGCAGAATGAATGCCAATCACAAACAAGCTGCAGAGCATTTTACGCTGCCTTTTATTTGTTGTAAGCTCTCAGTTTTTGCTTCCCATAATATTTTGTGTTCTTCATCTGATATCATTAATCATAGCAGTCAAATCCTATGAAAACATTTATTCATTCGTGCTGTGTCATGCTGAGCTTTAACAGATGTGCAAAAAGAAAACATGAAGACCCACCTTCAAAAGCAAATGTCCAGAGTGTGAAGATTTAATCAAGAATAAGTTAGTTAGATGGAGCTTCAGTACCTCCAGATGAGACTGAAAGGTGAAGCAGGATTCATAAGTCAGGAATAGATCTGAATCCTCAAAGAAGGAAAACAACCTGTCATTTAAACCCTTTTATTTTCAGTATCTTTCAGAAGAGTCAAAATGAAGTGATGAAGACATTCTTCTTCACTCTAACATCCAGAAAACATTGAGAGAAAATGACTGCATGCCCTAAAAGTCTGACCACTCCTCAGATAGCAGTCATGTTTGGTAATTATAAGATAGATGAAGCGATTGTCTGCTCGTCCTGCTGACGTCAGGCTGTCTGAGCTTGATTTATTCACTCCGTCTCACATTCATTTTTGCATTAAAACCAGACATCATGAAACAGTTAAAGCATCAGTTGATCATGCAGTTGTTTAAGCTTCTTTGAGGCAAAGTTGCCCTGTTAACAATCCAAAAGGAGCACGTTTAACACCAGCTGCTGCTGTAAACCTCTAAGCAAACGGAACAGCAGAGCACCTCCGGCTTCATGCATTCGATTTGGCACAATCAAGAAAATACATTTCATAAAAACAGGCTCAAGAGCTTTTACAGTATGGACAGTTCATCCAGAATGTGTAAGAAGGGCAAAAAGCATTTCTAATAGAAATATAAAGCCTCTGTACATTCTGACACTTTAATTTGCCTCTGGCACTACGAGTCTGGAGGAGTGGAGCAGCACAGACCCACCGACTGTTCCCCATCAGTAACTGTCTTTTACTCCGCTGGCAAGTGTTTTATTATCAAATCGGACAAGTGCAGCTGGGGTTCACAATGCTGCTCAGTGGACCCGAGCAGGAGGCTTCCAGCACGACGCCCGGCTGAGCCGGGACGCGCCACGACAGAAAACGCTGAGCACACACAGGCAGCACACAGAGATGCTGTGTGCTGCTCTTTGTGATCACTTTGGGTCTCTTTGGACGTCTTCCAACTTTGTGTGTTCATTTTGAATCCGCTTTGTCTCGTCTGCCGTGTACAAAGAGTCACATCTTCTCCTCTGCTTTCAGTCTTTTGTGGGTTGCAGTTGTGATGCCCTCTGTCTTTTTGTGGTCGTTACCATCTTCTTCTGTGGTGTTTTAAAGGAGAAACCCATGAGATCATCCCTAAGCTGCGTATCAGTTAGGTCTGTCCTCTCATTCGTCCATGATCTCTCACAGAAAGATGTTTCTACAGTCATTGGTGCCACTATTCCCCATAAAATCCACCGTAAGAGGGGTCTCTACAACACAGAAAGATCTTATGTTTACTATTGTCCTTTAGTATTTAGAGTATTTCCTTAAATATCTGTATCAGGAGATCCAGAAACTAAGGATGCCCGTGTCAGATTTTCAGAAAATTGATAAATTGATGTTTTCCAGTTAATTCAGACCATCCACACACACATATAATCCTCAGACATCATCTTTAGAGTAGACATTAATTCTCCCCAAATATGTAAAAAAAAAAAAAAAGAAGCTACATTTAATTTAATTTTGTCCTGGAATCAGAACCCAAAAACAATCCTCAAATGAACCACAACAAGGCTATATTTGAGCTGCATGCGAGCATTGCAGCTCTTAGGTTTCAAGACAAACCTGAAAGCTACACACAGTAGCAACAAGCTACAAGCATCAATTTAGGTATAAATCTGTTTTCTGGATGAATCTGTCAGATCATTTTATCCATACATTCATTTGGATGGGGGGACGGGGGATCACGTCGTTTAGAAACCCAGGCAGACTTGATCTCAGCTCGATCTCAGCTTTCATCCATTTCCATGGAGATATTCCTTTAAACTGAATAGAAAGACAAAGACAATAATAAATTGTCCCAGAGAATTGCATTTTCTGTGGGCATATTTGCAGATCAACAGACCAAACACGATGCTTCTCAGGTCTAAGAGGGGCTTTAAAGCTCTCTGTAAGGAAAAGGAACCTGCTGATTTCCCTGTACACGTGCGGCCAGAGCTGCCAAAGTGGAGCCGTCAGGTGTCCGGGTAGAGCTCAGCGTTGACGTCGACGCTGTGCAGAACTGACTTCGGCTCGGCCGACATCCGGTTCAGCACCTCGGCCGGCAGCGAGAGGCTGCTGCCCGACTTCTCCTCGAACCAGCTGTCCAGCGCCCGCTTCCCGTCGAAGCCCCCGATGGGCGGCCCGTTGACGGCCACGGCCAGCAGCTCGCTGGTCTGCTCGGGGCTCAGCCGGGAGCGGCTGTTCCTGCAGATGCGGCGCAGGCAGCCGCGGCCCTTGTCGCAGCAGGCCGTGGAGCTGGGCAGCACCCGGACCACCTGCACCAGGCGGTGCAGCAGCGGGAAGCGCTGCCGGTGCCTGCAGATGTGAGTCACCACCTCCCTGAAGCCGCTCATGCTGCGGTAGTCGGCCTTCAGGTCCTTCCACTCCACCACCAGGGCGCTCCTGGCCGGAGAATGGACCTCCTGACCGGCGGAGGGCAGCGACTCCAGGTGGTTGTGGATGATCTTGATCTCCTCCTCCCCGTAGGCCTGCAGGTCCTCCTGCTTGTGGGGCCAGCTGGACTGGTCCAGGACCTTGCAGGCTCGGGCAAAGGAGCGGCTCTGCAGGTCCAGCCTCTGGCTCAGGATGCCCTGACTCCTGCTGCAGATCTTCTCTCGGATGGACTGAAACTTCGACTCGGCCACGCGCAGGTTTTTCAAAGCGATGCCGTTGAAGCTCTCTCTGAAGTTCTCCTGGAACTCCTGCAGATACTCCCCGGGGCAGTCGGCCAAATGGCCAATCTCCTGCACCGCCTCCTCTATCCTGGCCTCCACCTGCGACACCAGCAGGTTCTCCCCCTGGAAGGTGAGGGCCAAGCGCGAGAGCACGGCGATGATGTCCAGCAGGAAGTAGATGAGCTTCACAGACTGGTAGTCCAGCAGGAACTGGAGCAGGGCGAGGGCAATGGCGGCGGCGTCGGCCCTCTGCGTCTGGCTGCTGATCTCCTTCAGGTGGGCCACCACCTCCAAATAGTCCTTGATGAGAGCGTTGAGGACGTTCGGCTCTCCTATGATCCACCGAATTGCCCTGATGTCTCCCAGGAACTCCGTCTCCTCGGACAGCGTGGGGGCGGTGCAGCGCAGCTCGGCCATCATGCGGGGAGAGTAGCGGTAGAAACTGAGCAGCTGCTTCAGGTTGTTCTCCAGGTCCTCGAGGCAGGAGAGCTCCTTCCCGCTGATGGCGTCCAGCAGCTCCAAATGGGGCCGGTGGATCATGACGGGAAGGCACAGGATCCAGGGGAAGGTCTTCTGGACGGCGACGTACAGGTTGGCTCTCATTCCGGAGGAGATGTTGGAGCCGTCCACCCCGAGCCCCACCACCAGCAGGTCCTGAAAGCGGAGGCCCAGCACACCGAAGGCCCGGTCCATGACCTGCAGGTACCCGTCCACGCTGGCCGCGCCCAGCCTCTGCAGAGACAGGAACTCTGTGCTGGGGGAGCCCTCGCTGCTCAGGAACTGCACGTAAACGGCCACCGCGTCCGAGAACAGGTCGTCGTTGTGGGCGTCCATGATGACGCTCAGAAAGGGGGACAGCCGCATCTTCTCGGCCAGATCTTCCTTCAAGGCCCGGGCGATGTGGTGGATGAGGACCTGACAGTCGCCCTCGTTCATGTACTGATCCACCACTTTGAGCTCACACTTCTTCAGCAGCTCGGCCAGCGGCCGGAGGTCCGAGAAGGGCCGCCCCTCCAGGGCTAAGTGGTAGGCTGCATTGAAGAGCAGCATCATGTTCTTGCACATCTCCTCGGTCTTCTCGGGGTGCATGCGCAGCTTGTACAGCTGCAGACACTTCTTGTGCAGGTTGCTCTGGCTGTGCAGCTTTATGGTGTGGATCTTGAACTGCTTGGAGCCGATGATGAAGGCCGAGGTGCGAGACGACTGGACGGTGTACTGGCGGCAGACGTGGCACCACATCTCATTCAGGGTCGGCGAGTATCGGAGGAACCAGAACTTCTTCAGCCACTCCTGCTTGAAGCGCCGGATCCGTCGGCCTCCTCCTGAGTAGAGCTTGGACGAGTCCTCTGGAGAAATCACCAGATCTGCTGCGATCGACTCGTCGGCCGAGTCCACGTCCTGATCGTCTTCATCCAGAACCGCCTGGGAGGGAGTCAAAGGCTCCATCCCTGAAAGACAAATATGAGCTCCTTCAGTTTACAGGATAAAAACAGTGTCAATCCATCCTCAGACAGGAGACACACATCACTGAATTGTATTAAACTAAATGAAAACTGGGAAGTAGAACGTTTGGATATTGAATATTCCTTTTTCTTTTTAACTGGATACATTTTCCATACAGATCTAAGCTTCTATCTTTAACTCATATCTTTTTGATATCACCAAAAATTGTCATCAGTTTTATTTAAAGGATATTGAAGACTTAATCAATACGATTTAGGTTCTTAGACCCCATGTGATGCAGCTTCTCACTACCTAAACAGAAGTGTTATTGTCCTGTGGTTGTGGAGGACATTAGAGAGCAGCACATTAAAACCTGGGGGGCAACAATGAACCGGGCCTTGAAAACGGGGCAGACGGAAGGTCCGAACTGAACGTGATGGGTGGTTATTTAAATGAGGAGCCCGAAGGCTGGAGCCATTCGGTGGTCTGAGGACCTCCAGATGGGGCAGAGCGGGACCTACCAACCAAGCGTCTGGTGTACTGTGGGCATTCAGTCAGCTTTACAGAAGATGTTCCAGGAAGGAAACGCCTGGATTCATCTGGGAGCCGTTTCTAAAAGCGGTTTTCATCATTTTAACACAAAAAATCCACATTAGTCCTCAGTGACAGGAAAGCTTAGTGCTCTGGATGTAAATCTATGGCTGTGACAGTAAAGAAGATTAAATCATCCCACTGGGGATGCATAAATGTGGTTAAGAATACTCCAAATCACCAGGTTTTATGAAGAGAGAGCGAGTGAGAGAACGCAGAGCCTTTGTCACAGAATGTGGGACAGATTAAATCAGATAAAGGACAAAAACGAAGGGGCTTCTTGCATGTTGCAGAGTTCTGGGGTTTCTTTCCATGCCACCAACATCTGGTCCTGTTTAGAGATAAAAAAAATGTTTTAAATGGGCCTCATCAGTTTTCAGAACCCACCTTGGAAGTCCTCGATGGGGCCTTGCTCGGGATGCGGGGGGGCCGGGTCACACTGAGGGTGGGACGGCTCTGACCTGGGGCCGACTGAGTCCCCCTGCTCGGCTCTGAGACGGCACAGCTCTTCCTCCAGCTCCAGGATCCTCCTCTTCAGTTTGACGCAGTTGGGGCAGAAGGAGGTGGAGGCCTCCCCCTCACTCTCCTCCAACTTCAGCTCAGGAACCCCCACGCTGCTCTCAGGTCTGCAGCCCAGCGCCGCTCCTCTGCTCCCATCTGGGAGGCGGGACCTGGACTTCTCTAGAGAGGCCTCGAGAGCATCCCTGAAGATGAGGTCGATCTTCTTCCTCTTGGGAGGGGGCTGACCATCCGCCTCCTCGCAGGGCTGCTTGCCGGGGCAGAGTTTGCCCTGCAGGGCGGATCGCAGGCAGGGGGATTTGAAGTCTCTGTGTTTGGGCGGCGTTGCTGGCTTCACAGGACCTGAGAGTTAAAGACCAGAGTGGGGGGGCTTTACACGCTATCGTCCACATACCGGATCTGCTCTACTTTGTTTAAATTGAAGTTTTTCACACTCAGGGAACTATAGCCTCGAAATAAAAAGCCTGACAGAGTCTGAGAGCCACCCAGATGTGAGCAACACATTTCAAATTACAGTCATGTGAAGACTTTTAGTCATGTGACGTCCCCCCAGCCCGGTCCCCTTCGGGCTGCTGTCCTATAGGTTTTTAGAGGTTTTCCTGCTTTGACACCTGATCTTGGTTAAATGGGTAAATTGCAAATATCTTTAAGGTCTTTATGAGTCTGCAAAAGCTGCAATGATCAGAATCTGGTGTGTTGAAGCAGGAAACCTCTAAAACCTGCAGGACGGCAGACCTGGACTGCAGCTGGAGGTCTCTGATTTAGATCCTGGTGGTTCTTATCCAGAGGTTCCTCAGTTCCCTTCATTGTCCTCAGCTGCCTCCACTCAGAGCTTCTAAAAGCTGCAGGATCGCGGCCCACAGAGGACTTCGGATGGCCCTGGCTTAACCCACTCCGCATTAGGTCAGAGGTGACGTGTGGGGTCAGCTGGACCATCGGCTCCGGCTGCCTCACCTGAGTCCAGGTTGCGGTCGATGCTGTCCTGGGAGACGCAGTGAAGCCTCTGGATGTAGTCGTCGCTGTACCAAACCCGCAGCCTGTCTCCAGCCTCCAGTTTCCGGCACACTCTGAAGAAGATGTTCTGGCCGTGCTGGAAGGCCGTCAGGTTCCTGTCGCTCTCCTCCGACGAGGTCCGCACAAACCTGTGGGCAAGAGTCCCCCCACATGGAGACCGTCTCCCATGAGCTGGACCAGGAAGGATGTAATGAGCCACTCAAAGCCAAAAGTCCATCAGAGCTTAACAGCTGACACTTCAGGGTTAAAAGGTGTTTGTGATGCAAACTTTCCAAAAAAACTGACCACTGTTAACTCCATGGAGCTAAAGAAAACTCTTAGCTCTCAGCAGCCACTTTCAGCTCTTGGTCTAAGGCAGTGTTTCGCCTCCCTGGTCCTCAAGGCCTACAGTTTTAGTTTTAGACATTTTCCTGCTTCTGTACACTTGATTCTGACTAAACTGGATCTGCTGTGGACCCTGTTGAGCTTTGCTCCGGCCTGCTAACGGCTCTGTGATGTGAATCAGGTGTGTAGAAACAGGAAAAACCTCTAAAACCTGCAGGACAGCGGCCTAAAGAGGACTGGAGTTTGACACCTGTGCTTTGGAGGAACCGAGCAGCTCGGAGAGAGGAGTAGTTCTTTAACCAGAACCCCCCACAGGGCAGGAGGGAGGGGCTCTCCTTAGGCCCAGTCACACATGTACAAACCCAGGAGAAAAACGACGGAGCTCCTCCACAAGCAGTCAAACAGCATCTTAGTAAAACCTCTCTAGAAAGCCGAGAAGTGTAAATACATTAGAGTTAACCCTAAACCTAACCCCCCCGGTAAAGGCTCTCGGCCCTCTCATCCTGTAATCCTGTCGGCAGATCTAACGCCGGCAGTCTTGGGCTTCTAGCTGCTGACAGGAGCTGAGCTGCTAACCGATCGCCTCCCGCTGAGCTGGATCAAGTATCCAGGGGAGATCCAGCTCCCACCTCCCCCCCTGAAAGAGGCTCCAACATAAAGTCCACAGAGGTCGTGTTCTGTGTCGCCTGCTTTGGTGTGAACCCTCAAATCTGTCTAGGCTTGTGGCTGAAAATGAGTCCTAGAAGCTGGATTAGAGCTGATTCTCCCTCATCTGGAGAAACGGTGGATTCAGGGGGTTAAACCTCACCTCATCCAGTTGGCTTTGGTCTCATCGCTGCCATCGATGGACTGGTAGGTGTTGTTCAAACCGACGAGCTGGAGCAGAGAGGAAAGTCACACCTGGCTCTGAGGGCTTGGCTTAAAACATGGAGGACACTTACGATCCAGGAGAAGAAGCCTGAGGATTGGTCCTTTGACACCAGCTCTCCCTCGTAGGGGCCGAACACCGCCCCCTTTGGAAAGATGGCATCCACGCAGCGGACGTCCACCTCCTCCCTGTCAGAGAAGATCTCCAGGCCTGAGGGGATGGTGAGCGCCGCCCTGCTGGCCGACCCGGGAGCGACGGGGGTGTCGGGGACCAGCAGCGGGGGCCCGTGGGAGGGGCAGTCCTTCTGGAAATAGTCCTGACACTCCTCACAGACTGCAGGACAAACAAGTAAACAGGCAGAGGCTTTAATCACTGGAGACTGACAGATGAGGACAAACGAGAAGCTGAACTCACACCAGAGGTCTGACGAGTGCTCGCTCATGGTGGAACCATGCTGGCAGGAATCCGCTTCATAACCCTGCGGAAGCAAGCAAAGCCAGTTACTTTGACTTCTTTGACCATTAATGTCCTGTTCGATGATTTTCCTCTCAGCTCAGTTTGCTGCTCAGGTACTTTGAAGTGAACCTAATGGACATGCAGGCCTCAGTGTGTCTGTTTAAGAACGGTAACACATGCACAAACACATGCACGCGTTTGGATTTAAAAAAGCAGCTTTATGTTGACTGAATGCTTAGATGACATGAAGAATTGAGCACAGATCCTCAGATATCAGGAAATTGGCTTTAAATGGCATCCTGCAGCCCAGAAACACAGCAGCTCAGG